GCCCCTGCACCTCTGGCCTGTACCCCAGTTCTGTATGCAGAAATAAATCTTTTAAAAAATGCCTCAAACAGAAAACATAGGATTAGAATGGGGGAGGTATGTGTTAGAGGGGTCAGAAGATGAGCCAAGGAAGATGAGACCTTCCACACGGAGGAGTATCACCTGCCCCCTTCCTAAACTGCTTCTCCCATTCTGAGTCCCCACCTCCTAATGTCCTGCAGCCCTGGGGAGCCTGCAAATAACCCACCTGCACCCTGAGTTGTAGCCAGCTGGGGGCTCCATTCCGCATGATTAGTCCCAGAGTTGCCTTACACCTATGCTTTGACCAGCAGCCATCTGGCCTGAAGACTGAGGCAGGTGAGCCCACACGTGCTCTGAATACTAACTTCTGTCCCTGCAGGGTCGGGCATCAGGCCCAGGCTGTTCCCTGCTTACATGTGAACAGGTTGGTGCAGGGCAGGAGAAGGTGCAAGAAATGACTCTTGAGGCCTGAATAAAAGCACAATCTGCTTTTACCTTATGTGATGGTGACCAGTAGAGAGGACGTGTGGAGACCTTGGTCCCTAAATAGCCACTCTGTAGTGGAGAAGTGATAGTTGGTTATCAATGGAGGTGGAAGTGGGTGGAGTCTAAGAAAGTGGGTGGAGTCATATGGGGAGTGGGCGGAGTCATGTGGGGGTGGAGTCACATGGACTGGTATGACAGCTTTTACTTCAAAAGGAAAAGAATTGAGGTTTACCCTAGTCCATTGCTAAGAGAGTGGTGGATCACTAATTGAAATGTGGAAGACTGGGAACAGGTTCGGAGTTGGAGCTCTGTCAAAATATTTGAAAAGTTTCGCCCATCTCTGAGAACTCAGATGTGGCAGAGCTGGTCTGCTTAGTGGGGATGCGGTTTCTGGAGTGAGACTGCCTGGGACTGCAAGAGTTTTCTAGCCGTGCGATCAGACTGGCTGCTGAACCTTTCAGCTTTGGCTTCCTCATCTATGTAGAGGAGACCATGAAACCAGGCTCTCTGTAATTGAGAACTGGACAAAACAAATGCCTCAACCTGTTGTAAACCCTCATTAAATGTTGCTTTATGGCTTCCCTCAGAGCCCTGTCTGAATGCCAGGTCAAGCAGCTCTTAGAAGCCAGCGCCACTGAGGAGCAGGAGAGAATGAATAAAGCAGGACCCAAGACATTCTGGGACCTTTATTATCCAGCCCCTCCCCCCCCACCACCAAAATGATATATAAATGCATCGAAGTAGACCCACTCAGAAATGATGCCAGAGCCTGGAAAATGGGCCCCGTCCCCCCCGGCTTTGAAAAAGCTACAATTCTTCCTTTATTTCTGGTTTCTTCTCCGCTCTTGGAGGCCCCTTTGGGTTCTCCGCCTCCGCCTCCTTCTCCTCGGCAGCTGCTTCCTGATGCCCAGCTGTCTCCACCAGCTTCGTTACCTTCTCCGGCTCAGGCAACTTCTTTTCAGGTAGCTGCTTCTTCATGAAAGATACCTCCTCTTCCTCTTCCTCTACCAGTACTTCCTCTTCTATCCCTTCGATAGACAATAGCTATTTAAGAAGGGAGGGGTAGAGGGAAGAAGGAGAATGATGAAATTGAAAGACAAAAAAGGTGTGATGATCGTGATTGTGTTGGCCAAGCTCACCCCCTCTGAAGTGCCCAGAGAGACCCAGTCTTACAGGGATTCTCCTCCAGGCAAACATTCTTTTGGTCTTGGGTGTGGAAGTGCCCAACTCTGCTTTTGCCCTTGTGCCAGGAGGACTTGTGGAAACCACCTTTCTTACACTCAGCATTACAGGTAGATCTAATGCGAGGTGCCTGGATGGTCATGTGAGCCAGGCCCAGTTAATAAGACCCTTGTCCAAGACACTTGCTGGTGTTATTAGGAAGAAGGTACTTTCTTTCTAAGTTGGGAGGATGTTGATTTAGAGCTTGGGGCAAACTTTGAACTCCCACAGGGAAATAACTGGGAATGAAGCCAGCATATATAAAATGGATGTGGAGAGATAGAAAACAACTTGGAACTTCTGGATCCACCCAGACCTGATCTTCTACCAGTTTTTTTTTTTTATTATTACAAAGTTTTTTTTTACATCATTTTGCACATTTTTTTTTCCATCTCCTCGATTGTAATCCCCGCGGGTTTCCCATCACCAAATCACCCCTGTGCCACCACCATAGTCCCGTGCATTTTCCCCCCTTCCCCTCCCCCCGTTTTTGATCCCATTCCCCACTCCACCCCCACAGTCTCTGGTATATGGTTGTTCATTATTTTTGTTATTTTCTCGCCTGGTCCATTATACTCCTGCTATGAGTGAAACCATCTGGTATTTTTCTTTCTCTTTCTGGCTTATCTCACTAAGCATGATCTTTTCCAGCTCCATCCAAGTTGCTGCAAAAGACAGGTGTTTCTCTTTTTTGGTTGCTGAGTAATATTCCATTGTATATATGTACCACATCTTTCTAATCCAGTCATCTACTTTTGGGCATTTGGGCTGCTTCCATGTTTTTCCAATTGTAAATAAAGCAGCAGTCTTCTAGCAGTTTTATGGGGTGAATTTTCATTGTTGCTTGAGCCAAGGAGTAATATTTCTGAAATTAGAACTTAAAGTGTCCTGACCCGTACATTTGGCACCTTTAAGCAGGTGGCATCATTGTGTGAAAGGGTTTATGAAGAGAATGATGCTTGTCCATCCACTAGGAGAATAATTCCAGAGGGCAGGAGCCTACGACAGCATCTGGTTACAACCATGGACCCAGACCCAGGGAAGCAGCCACAGAGCTAGGTAAGGCCTCAAAGCCTCTCCCCGTCCCAATTTGTCTAAACGTCTGCCATTTATACTTCCTGGTAGTGATGCCCTTGGAATAAAGTCACCCAAACTGGTGGATGTCCATCTGTCCACAGCTCTCTCCAGATTATGAGGCTCTTGGAACAGTCATTCCCAGTCTTTCTGAGTTATTGGTGATTCAATCCAGGTTACCATTTCGCCTTACCTCATCTTCCTCCTCAATCCTGGTCTTGACTTGACTTTCCAGAAAGTCAGAAAAGCCTTTCAGGGTGTGTTCTCCCTTGTATGGTACAGCCTAGGAAGAAAACAGAACAGGATCAAAATGCAGCCTCTTGCGCACAACACTCAGGAATTGCAATAGGTAAATCCAGGGTCAAATTCCTAGCAACTTGTGTATGGTAAGTAGGAGTTAACCTCTCTCAACTTCCATTACCATGGTTAAGATAAATATAGAAATGCTTCCACCATGAGGCTGTGATCTAACAATTCAGAACACGGACTATGGAAGCCCTTCCAGGCGCCAGCCTTGGCTCACCAAGGACTGGTTACTTCAACTTTCTGTGAATCAGTTTCCTTATCATGAATAGCACCTACCCATCTTGTTATAAGGATCGAACGAGTTGTTAGATGAAAAATACTTAACCCAGTTTCCCTGGCTCATGCTGAACACTATGCATTGGCTACTACTATATCATCATCATTACAGGAAAAACTATTTTACAAAGCATCTGTACATAGTTGTGCTTTTCCTCTTTCAGCCTTTAAGCTGATTAGGAAAGGACTACTGCCCACTGGTTGTCTAAACTTCTCTTCAGATACATGAGCACAGAAGATCTGTGCCAGCCCCTCCCTCTCAACCCAGCAGCTTCATCTCTCCCTTGACTTCCCCACATGCATCTTCTGTGCAGGAGGATGGCATCTCCTTTGCAGTGTTTTGGTCACCCTTCCACCCACCTCCTTGCTCACGTTATACTTCCTACCTAGAGTTCACAACCCTTCTTGTAACCTGACTTAAACTCCTGCTGCCCTATCAAGATCCAATCTGCCTGGAGACTTCAGTCATACCTGCCTTTTGGAGTGACCCCTCCAATTCCAACTGTGCCTCAAGATGGGCCCAAGTCATGACGACTTCTCCCCCACACCCATCCACAATTTTCCTGGGAGCAGGGATCTGGGTTTGCCCCTCTCTGATTGCCACTCTTCATGTGTCAAAATGGCACGGGGGTGTGTGTTTCCTGAACACTATTGATGTTCGAGGTCTATAATTCCCAGTGTAAAAGCTACTGATTATCTTTATCATGCTTTCTGTCTTCATCTGATAGCAACCTAGCCCAAGAACTCAGGTGGAGATACCCTCTCTTTATTCCACAAAACCTGGCTGGAGCTCAGCCCCAAATACTATAGGGAACTACGTAAGCTGCATCCGATCACATGAACTTGGCCACAATGATTGGGTCAGAAGTGAGCAACTGACCTAAACTGGACACCACTGGTGCAAGTTTTGGGACATTTTAAGAAATGAATCAAAAATATCCTTTAACTTGAAAACAAAAGAAAAATAGAGGCTGGAGCTGAGAATGAAGCTGCTTTGGTAGGAAGCAATCTGAAGATAGGGAGGAACTGAGTTTGTGATGATAACGTAACATTTTCAAGTATGTGTCTTCCCCTCCCCCCAAAGCCCCTCACTTGTTGAGAGTCAGTAGGGAAAAGCTGGAAGAAGGGGTATCGGTCCAGGTACATCAACTGAATGTCGTTGGCTGTGATGTCGATCTTGGCGATGGTGACTGTGGAGTGGTTTTGATACTTTGTGCCCATCTCCTCCCAGAGGGGGAACAGTGCCCTGCACTTCTTAGACCAGGGTGCATCTGGAAAAGAAGGGCTGATGCTTAGGCATGAAGACTGTAAAAGCAAGTGCTCCCCCATAAACACCATCATTGTGCTCTACTCAAAAAGCTCTTTCACTTTGCAAGTCATACTTCCTCTTTCTTTTAGTAGTAAGCTAGGATACCTTACATTTCAAGCATAATACCTTGTCATTATAAAGTAATGTAGCAAAGTATTAACTCAGTTCCTTCCCAGTCACTAACACTTAACTTACTGGGATATTTTCTTTTACGTCTTCTCTTTAATATAGTTTTCCACTACACTTGAAGAAAACCATCAAGAAAAATTGTTGATGTACGGTGATTCCACACTCTTCCAGAAAGAGTAGTTGTGTCTATGTGTATGCATAAGAATTTTCCAACAGTAACTAAGTCACCTAGTTAATTAAGCAGAGGAAGTTGCATGCAAAGACAGCTTTGACTGTGACCATTATACCACATTGCCTTTCAGCCCATTGGCGGGGAATGGACCCAAGAACTGAATGTGCCGAGAACTGGAAAGGAGGTTGTGGCAAGCAAAACTACCCTTGGACAGGGGGCACCAGGCTTCCTTGCGAACAGTTCTTTGAAACTTGAGTTTGGCTGAGGCTCCTGGTGGTCTGGGAGAGATCTGGGACTAGCTCCAACACAGAAGAAACTGGACCTTGTCTGCTTTCATTCCATTAAAGTTTCTGACTCTGTAAGAATGGCCTCAAAGATCCCAACACCCCACATTTGGATGCCATCCTTCCATTTACAAACCAATGCCTCCTATCCACCCCCTCAGCCCTCCTGCAGCCTGATGGGCCCTGGGTTAGAACAGAAGGGGGCTAATGGTCTTCTCCCTAGGAGGCCAATCTGCCAGTCATGCTCCCCAGAAAATGAGTATGCTTTCTCCTTTTACAAGAACAAAATGGGAATTTTCCTAACCCTGGGTGTGAGGTAAGTGCAGAAAGTCTGTCCTGAGCCTCTCATGGCTATTCAACCATGCAGATCTTAAACATCCCACCCTGTGGATAAGAGTCCATTTCAGGGAGATTTAAAAAGGTTGCATGATGCAATCCAGCCCTTATTTCACCCTCCAGGAAGTGATGGCATCAAGGTTCATTTTGAACTTTTTGCCTTGCAACTCAGAGAAACCTGGGATAAAAAGCCACCAGTCTGAGACAGGGCTCCCTGATCAATATCATGGGGAAATCCACTGGAGATATTTGAGGAAGATATGACAGCACACTCATTGTGAAGGCTCAGTCAAGGGTAAATCCTGCCTGTTAAAGAAAACTTCCATGTCCTACTTCTCTGTGCTTCATGGCCAGGGAGAGAATGCCCCTGCTTTGAGTCCCAAGTCAGGAACAGTGGGTTAGGTCATGGTTCCTAGTAGAGCACTGGAAATATCAATAATTCTAACAATAGGAATAATAGCAGCAATAATAGCTGTCACTCCCCAGGTGATTACCATACACCCAGCACTGTGCTCATTAATTTCCCTGCCTGGTTTCAGCTTACTCCTACTGGCCCTTGGCCACACAGACTCAGGTGGATGAGATCTGGGCCATTTGGTAAATCACAAGGAGGCAGAAGCAGGATAATTTCGCTCAGTAGTTCCCACCAGAGGTGCCCGACTCAGGCAGTGAGGTTCCAATTTGGGTTCTAGCACTTAGGAGCTGTGTGACTTTGGAAAAGTGTCCTCCCATCCCCGACACTCCTGGAGACATTCTGTTAAGTGCGAACAGTAATAGCTGCTTTCAGATGTATGTGATGGGATTAATGACATCATGTCCACGTGGCCCACCTGGGAGACCCAGGCAATCAATGAGGATGATGATTTTGTTACGATACACCGTCCCAGGCTTGGGGTGTGGTTGGCCAACCCCCGACCCAGGATTCAACTTTGGGGGACAGCAGCATTGTTGGTGGCAGCATCTGTATGCAAACTCTTTGGCTGTATGAAGACCATCCTTGCACAGACCTTTGATAGGTCTTGGATGTCCGGGCGCCCAAGAAAACAGGCACAGCATTTGCAGTATCAGGGCCCATGAAGATACTTACAGAACATCACAAATACGTCCCTGTCCTTATCAAAGACGACTAGGTTGAAGTTCTTCCCCACAAGCTGCTTAACTGGACTCTGGTCCCAATGTTTTGGAATCTCTTCGCTGGACCGATGTTTCTAGGAAGCACAGGAAAGTGATAGTCTCGGGGGAAGGGGATCCGCAGGGGTGCTCCTTGCCCTGACTGCAAAAAACAGGAAACTTTTTCTTGTTCTTCCCTAAGACTGGAAGAAAAGTCACAAGAGTTTGAAGTGCTGAGATGCAATCTCAGGCTTTCCTGGATTGTCCACCCTTGGAACTGGGAGCAGAGGGTAAAAGGGGAGACAGGGCTCCCAGCTGGGCAGGAGTCCAGCACTCTGGTCCAGCTTGGCACATTTGGCTAGTCTGATAACCCTTTTGTTCAGGCAGGAGGTTAGAGAACGAGTGACCAGGCCACCTGTTCAAATAGGGCTTTTGAGCATCTTGGCACAAGATTCAATTTCTCAGTTTGGTCAGAGGCTGGGCAACCGATGGTCCAGTTCCCTTGTCGTGTCCCAATTTCCCTGTTCAAACAGGCAACTCACCTCTCACCAGCTCAAAATTTCTTTTATCCCCTAAGCTGGTTCAAGGGGATTGAAGCCCATGTAAAAAGGCAAGGGATTGTAGCATTGTGCTGCTGTCACAGGGGCTGTCATCTCTAAAGAGTGACCGAACAGTAGGTGGCTGGGATGACACAGACACAATTATGGGAGAAGACAGACCAGGATGTTGATGCTACCATCCCTAGAAAGGGAGACAGAATCGGGGTGGGAAGCAAATCAGCAATGAGGAGCGCAAGTCCTCAGAAAATAGATGTAAGATGACTGAGCAAGCACTAAGTAGGAGCAGGTGACCGGAAGTCCAAAGGAAGGGGAGCCAAAGGAACTGGGATTTTTGAGGGAAGAGGAGAAGAAAAGACTTGAAAATGGGAGGGAGAACAGCACCCTCGCCAGTTGACCCTACATAATACTGTGAGGTGAGAAAAAAACAGCTCTCACTGGAGAAAGCTGCAGGGGAGTGATATCCGTGGGGAAATAGACAGAAGGTAAGGTCACCGTATATTCCAGTTTTCCCAGAGTTCCAAGTTATTCCTGTTGTTCTGGATAGTTTTAAAGAATGCCCACATTATTCTCAACAGTGTTCCAGTATGGAAAATGTACAATTAGTTGCCTAACTTGGCAGGTAGTTGAGGAAATACCTGAGGCTAAACAAACAGCATGTGACAGGTGATCTTTCTGCAGCCGCTCCCTTTCTGCAAATAGACTCTTCTAACCTCATGCAACCAGAAAACCTTCAAATCCTTTAAGATTATTCTCTGTTGCTCGATTTGTTCCATTCCACCCCCACTGTCCCCCAAAACAAGCATCTAGCCTTGGGCCAAGTGACTATTTCACATTAGAATCTTCGAGGAGAATCAGAGCTTCATTTCAGAGGATGTTAGTCCTGGGAGTGATTGTATTTCAATTGGAAATCCCCACAAAGGAATTCTTTAACTTCAAGAATAATCAATTAATGGTTGAAAACTAATGTTACCACAACAAAAAGAAAAAAAAAAACCAGGCAGGGGGAAGAATAGTGAAATTATAGGGTCAGGACAAGTCAAGGGTTGACCAGTGTCTAGTCATGAGGGTGCAGTATTTCCCCTCATTGCATCATGGGTTGACCTTTACTCTGTGCTCCCGCTCAGATACTCAAAGTCAAGGGAAACAGGCAGAAAAGGATGATGGGGAGGTCCTAGATACACCTTGTTCCAGAAGAAACTTACCTTGGCTCTTCTGTTCAGGTAATTATTGCTGAATTTCTTGAGGTTTTCATAAGTTATCTCATCAGAAGGCATTTTGTACCTCCCATCAGAGCTTAAGTTTAGGATTTGGACAGAAGGGATGTTAACCTCTGTGACCCGGAAGTATTCAAAGACACGCCCATTTCTGGGTTCATCTGCATCGATGAGGATGAAGAGGATCTGTGGAATCAAAGGAAAACTGTCTCTGTGGATCCTTTACTGAGGGAGGGGGTCTTTGGGAAGGCCATGGGAAGGGCCCAGTGGCACAGGAATATCAGAGTCTGGGCGCACCTTTGCAAGACTTCACAGAGGCTCCCTGTGGTGGGGGGCACATAGAAGAATCCACCTGCAGCCTGGTTTCCCCTCTCTTGTGGAGACCACCCACAAAATCCGAGGAACTCAGGAGGTGTGGAGCTCTCATCCTGGGGAAAACAGTGACTTCCCCTCTTTGAGCTTCAATTTCCTTTTTTGTAAAGTAGTGATGGTAATAGTACCCACCTCCTAGGATTATTGTGAGAAAGAAAAAGAACTGTGCAAACAAAGGCTTGATTCAGGGACTGGCAGGCACAAATACTCCATCCAGGTCGAAATTGATCTCTATCCTAAATTATGCTGTCAAGAAAACTCATTTTCTCATTCAGTTAATAAATATTTGTGGAGTGTCTCCTATGGCTAAACACTGGGGATACGAGTCTGCCCAAAGCAGACAATATCTGTGGTCTCATGGAGTTTATGTTAGTGAAGAGAGAACTAATGAGTAGCTAATAATTTCAGATAAAGAAAGCAAATTAGACTGCTAGATAGGCCCAGCGATAGATTGATGGTACAGGTGGCTGAGGCAAGGATTCAGAATTAGGTGGGTAGGTCAGGAGAAGGAGTATCTGAGGACATATCATTTTAGCTAGGATGTAAGTCAGAGAATGTTGATTTGGGCAGTGGAAACTGTTGATGCAGAGGCCTTGGGGTGGGGGGTCAGTAACGTAGAGCTGTGCACATCAGTATTCAGAACCCTAGTGCAATAGGTTGGGAGGCTAGAGTGTGTGCAACCGTGCTAAAAGCATAGGACCCAACATGCCTGGCTCTCCCACCAGAAATGATGCTATTTCTACTCCAGTGGAGTTGAGAGGAGTCCTCCAGAGGTCACGGAAGGGGTTTTGGATTTGGGGATGTGCACAGGGCTCTTGCCATGAATGAATTCACCCTCCATCTGCCCTCTCCTCCCCACCCCGCTCCCACTTCTGCTGTCTGCTTTGGAGGAAGCAGAAGGTTGTTGCATAACTGATCACTTTTGTGAGGTCAAGAAATAGAAGGAAAGGCCAGTGTGACTTGATCCCATGAAAGAGAGTTGTGAAATGTCAGAGATGAGGTAAAAGCACCAAGAATGAATGTGGGGTTCATCTAAGGAGCACGGAAGGCCATTGAAGGGCAGTCAGCCAGAGTGTGATCACTTGAAAAAGTTGTTTTGGTCATAGAGAAGGAGTGGCAGCCTGCAGTGTCGTTGCATTGGTAACAGGTATTCTTGAGTCATTCATGTGTCAAAATATGAAGAATGCTACTATGTGCTAGACACACTTGTAGGTGCTGGGGAAGATGTGAAAAGCAAAGGAAAAGTCAGCCTTGTATACTTTAACAAATACAGGTTAGCAGTGAATAAGATAGAGGGTGTGAGGGTCAACGAAACATTCGTTCAACTGTTTATCATTGCTCTCAAATAGATTAGTCAGTGAATGGCTAGCTAACTGTGTGAAGGTGATCAGAACCTCATCATGCAATATAGGGCAACATCAATTCCACCTAGGTTAAAGTGCTAATGAGAAAAAAAAATCTGTAAAAAAAAGAATAGCTAAGTACTGACTGGCTAGATGAAAGAAAAGGAACTAATCAAGTCCTCATCAACTTAATTACATCAACAATCTCAAAACTTAAAATGGACTAAACCAAGAAATATATTTAAGGTATTTCTGCTACTGGAACCACCTTCTTGGAAAGTAATGAGGTCAGATACAGCCTGGTTATTCAATATATTTATGCCCTAAGTTTATGCCCTCTGAGTTTGAGTGTCAGGAATTTTGTTTCCATTGATTTTAAGAATAATTTTCCTTGAAAGAAAAAACAAAGACTGTTATTTTAATGTTCTCCTTATAAAAATAAAGAGAAAGATTTATTAACTAGCTTCTATAGTTCAGTAGGTGGTAACTATATACAAAATAATTATAGTATTTAAGGAAATGGATTTGTTTCTAATCATGACAAGTACAGCAATACTAAGAAGCACAATCCCTTCCATTTGTTCAGTGTTTTATATGCCATGAAATGTCTCCAATTCTTACCACAACTCTGCACTTTACACTTGCAACTCGAGACGGTAGTGAAGAAACTCAGCAAGACAAAAATCTCTTGAAAGAGGAGACTGAACCCAGGACTGCATGAGACTAACACTAGAATCTCAGCAATGACATTCAGATGATCCACTTCTTCATACCTGCAGGGTTTGCCTGTTCCCTGGAGTGGCCTCTCCTCCTCCTCACTTCCAGGCCAACCCCCCATCCCAACTCCCCGGCCACATGGTCACTATTTAATCTTAGCAAACCTTGGTCCATCCAAAATAGCATTATGTTCCCATGTGGACTTACCAAGAAGAGGGAAGGAGCAGCATAGGTTTGGTAAGAAAGGGAGACCAGTAGAAGGAAGGGGGATGGTGTAAAATTAAATAGTAAATGACATATAACATTGAAACAAAACCAGGGAAATCGCTAAACAAGTGAATATGAAAATCCTTTCTGGCTTAATTTAAAAGCAGCAGGGCAGGTGAGTGAAATGCTGTCAGGGCCGACAGGTCTTGGAGTCTTAGCCTGAGAGCCCAAAAGAGCAATGGAATCTTTCACAAACCTTGTTTTGAAATTCCTTTGATGCCAGCTTATAATGCTGCATGATCATTCCAAATGACTCTGAGGTTTTGGAGGCGAAGAGCAGCATGTGATTTAGGATGTGCAACTCATAGATCAGATCCTTATTCTGCAATTACAAAGACAAGTCATCCTGTGCATTCTGTTCCCTGGGACCCGACTACCCTTTTGCCACTGACCTCAGAGTTGTATTCAATCACCAAATCGGTGAGTTGCTGTTTGATGACTTGATGGAGGATGTTTTTGTTGTTGCTGTCATTAATGAGCTCTTGGCGGTTCACAATTTTCCCCTTGGACAAAAGAGACACAGAGGAGGGCAGTAGCTTCCATGATGTATACACTTAATAAATATAAATAGCACAATTTTCCCCGAGGATAAAAGGGAAATACTATCGTGACAGGGTGATCCATGGTCTAGGTACTTAATAAATATGGATGGCTGGGCCGAATCGCCTGTGGGTATAATATGGGTATGTGGAAGCCATGAAAATCTGTAATCTGCAAACAGGGTGTGTAATTGACAGCCCTAGCTGCCTTGCTCTGAAATTCATCACCGTATCTATGCTGATGTCGAGTAGGTTTCTACCTACTGCTCACAAAGGGTGACCGACTGTGTCCGGGGTACTGGGCTGGTGAGCTGATCTGATGACAGTCTTGAGAAGACCTCTGTCATCCAGGACTTTTCATCCAAACTTCCTTCCAAAGGGTCCTCACGTGTGCTCTGATGACTCTGAAGCTCCCTCATCCGGGTCTCCTTTATAGACACTTTCCCTAACAAAACTTCACTTGCCTAATCCTGCTTGATGATTGCATCACACCTGAGCCAAGACAGGGAATGATAAAATTCTCTGTAACCCAGGAGCCCAGCTTGGGGTTGGGAGAGCAGCAGCAAACACCTAATTTCTCTCTGCTCCATCTCCCCCTTTCCAGCTGCATCACCCCCACTCTTTAGTTTGCTTCCCTGGACCTTGTGAACAGTCTCATCACAGTCTTCCAACTCCTCCTTTGGTTAGGCTCCAATCCATTTCCACACTTCACCAGAATGATGTTGTTAAAACACAAACCTGACCTTGTTATTCTCTTGCTTAAACACTTCATAACCCCTGCTGTCCTCTAGATAAAGTGCAAACTCTCTCCTGGGAAGACCATAGTCTAATTGAGACACTCGCTGTATGTGTTCTAAGTAGGTTACTGCGTGAACTCAATCTTCACAATATCTCATTGAGCTATGTACTATCATCACCCTCCCCCCCACTTCACAGTTGAGAAAATTGAGCTGCAGAGAAATGAGGGACTTGGAAAGATGGAGAGATGGAGGCAGTGTCTCAACCTAGGCAGTCTGACTGTTTTAATGATCATCCATGCCTGCAATCGTTAAGACACACAGCTCTTATGACTGCATTTTCCAAGTTTCCTATTTGGCTTTTGATTTTGTGATGGGTTTATGCTGCATAACATTTACATTTTTGTGTGGTTCAAATTTATCAGTATTTCACTTCACAACTGCTGGGCTTTCTATCATGTTTATCCAGGGGCTTTTCCCATGCTAAGCTTAGCCTGCAAACCCTCCAGTGGTTTCTTCCAGACTTTTCATGATTTCATTCTGAGGGATTCAGCTTTAGTTTAGTTCTCCAACTAGCTACCCATATAGCTCAACTCTAGTCACAGGATAATAAAATATCATCTTTATCATCCACTACATTTCCATCTGTATTTTAATATATATCTGAACTCTAGGTTGTCCCATTCAAAACTACAAAGCAGGCCATTTTATTCTCCCATTTCAAACTTTTCAATAACTTTATGAGCCTAAATAAACACGTAGTGGTTAAAAATCCCTGAAAGCCAAACAGATCTCATGCTACTCCTCTGATCTGCATGGCCTCTGAACCTGTCCACAAACACTTATGGTTGTGGTAAAGATTTGGCTTTGTGTCTTGGAGGGAGTAAGGCAGCTCTAGGAACCAGACCGACATTGTTCAATGGAACTTTCTGTATTGCTAGAAATGTTCTGTACTTGACCAGTCCGTTCCAGCAGCCACAGACTGCAGGTAGCTGTTCAGCATTTGAAGTGTGACCAGTTTATTGGAGAACTAAAATGTTAGCTTACAAACACACAGTTGCATGCACCACGGGCTGCCATATTGGGCAGCTCAGACCTAGATCCTGTGTGGAATCTAGAATAGAAGGCAGACAATGAAAGGCCTTCTGAAGTTCATTAATGATTTGAGTCTAAAAATTGAACCATGAAGGAAAGAAAGTGGAAAGGAAGAGGGAAAGGACTATCAAATCTGAACTTGGGGAAGATTTCTCTTTAGAGGGTGACAAACAGTGTGGAAGACAGTTGGGTGGCTCTTGCCAGAGGCTGTTGAAGATGATGGTCACTGGGTTTAGTTCAGCAGCATTAGAGAGAGATGGAGCGGTTTAGGGGCTTTGGGATATAAAATCAATAGAATTGAGATGCTGGGCTGGCTAGGACAGGGTACTGTTAGATTGGTGTCTACATGTTCTGGGTCTGTGAAATTAGATGGGACAGCTGGTGGCAACATTCACTGAGAGAGAGAAGACACTGGAAGAGGATTTTGGAGGGAGGTTATGAGTTTAGGCTTAGCCATACCAAGACAGCTGGTGATAGATATACAGTTCTGGAAAATTTTAATTCATAGGTGTGTGGATGATAATTGCCATTGAAGGGCAAGTCAGGAAGCATGGGCCACAAGGAAAGACAGACGAAAAGACTGAGACTTAATGAATGCCATGAACTGGCAAAGGAAAGGAGGAAGACCTTACAAAGGAGAGTGCCCAGGAACGCCAGAGAAACTAAAGAAGGCTAATTGCAGACTAGTTCATGATTTCAATGCCATGAAGCTCCCATGTGGCAAAGCCAAAATTTGTACCCCAATCTATAAATAATATATGTAGCTCATTGTTTTGAACTAGAGAGCTCTTTGTTGCAATAGGATCAAAGTCTTACCTTTTTGAACACCAGAACACTGTCCAGCGTGACGTGGAAATGCCCCAGGGTATTGCGAATTGATATCACCCCAAATGTTAGCTCTGGAAAGTCTTTAATCACATCATAGAACAATGTTGCTACTTCTTCCTCTAAGTCCTGTTTGGGAACACATGTTTGTTAAGGTTTTGGTAGCAACTAAATTCCTGGCTTATTTAAGGGGATGGTGGAAATGGTGACTATCTCATCTCACCCTTTCCACATTCTGGAGTGGCCTAAATCCCTTTTCAAGCATGTTTTCTACCCAGCATGCTTGTCTGGATCTAAGAGCAAGATGGGCAAAGCCACATACACTAGCTGAATGAATCGATAAACTTGATCTTGTCTAGCTATTAGAGTCTGCTCTCCTAAGACAGGGTGGAGACTTTTTTTTTAAGGCTGCTTTTGTTTGTTTGTTTGTTTGTTTTTTAAAGATTTATTTATTTATTTATGTATACAGAACTGGGGTACAGGTCAGAGGTGCAGGGATGGTGAGAGGATTCACCAGAGACAGAGCGGGGAGCAGAACAGTCAGATCAATGAAGTACACTGCTGAGGGGAGCAGCAGGTGGATCAGGAGAGGTCTGCCGCGCCGTGTGGGCCACCTCCGGGACCGGGGATTGAATTGGCACTGAGGAGGCTGCAGCCAGCTTGCAGTGCTGAGTCCTAACCCGCTACACCACCAGGGAGGGCCCTGGGTGGGGCCTCTTTAACATTCATTCTTTAATTGCTTTCTGATGAGGCAATTGATGAGATCCTGTTTGGGACCAATTATGAACTTTGGACAAACTATGGCTGTGCGTGAAAGGCAACTGAGGTTGTAAACACTGTCAAAAAGTGGGTGGGAGAGAAAAAGGACATGCTCTTCCCATTTTACATATATGTAAGGCCACAGTTATGACCTCCAGTGGAAGAAGGGGAAGGGATATCATGCTTCAGGAAACTAGTTAAGACATATAAGAACTAATTCTCCAAAAGCAACACAATTTGTGTATTAACCAGTGACGTTCTAAATGGATCTTCCTCCCAAATTAACTATACGGCTCAAAACCAATCCAAGAAATGTATTCATCTCTTCTCTCTGTCCATTCCTGTCCACCTTTTTAGTTAGCCTATTACTTCAGCTCCCCTGTTCTTCCACCCTTTAAGTCTTTGGATTTATCAGCAACGCAAACCCCAGCTCATTGGATAAGGAATAATGAGCATGAAATTAACCCAAGTAGGTGACCTCTTTTTAGCCCATTCTTCTCCCAGATACAAGTCTTGCAAGTCAAATGCCTCCTCCCACTTCTTGACCCCAGTACCTGAAAGAAGCCAATGATGACCAAGGGCCTGGATTTCACAAAATCTTTCACCTGTTGGGTATTATTGAACAAAAATGCTTTCCGGCTAATCTGTCTTCTCAACCAAACGACCAAGGCAGTAGATTCAACCACTCCTGGAGAGAGATATAGTTAAATGGTTCCCACAGAAGTTTTCTTTTGAACAGGAGCAAGATCTGTCTTGAAAGCCAAGGTCAGTTCCTCCACCGGCCCCTCCTACTCCCACCCTCATGTTCTAAAACATGAACATTAATGGGGCAACTAAACTTTAATGAGAGCTTATCAAGGACCAGCACTGTGCTTCATGTTGGCAAGTATCACGTCCCCACAAGAACTCCATGGGATAGTTATTCTTACTCTCCCCATTATGCAAAAGAGGAAAATGAGGTTCAATTTACTGATGGCTATTCTATGAGCCAACCTGGGAATCAAACCCTGGAGGGAGCGTGCCCAGAGTCTTATCTTTTCTCCAAAGTGACAGGAAGACAGATTTGTTATTTTTTTAATATAAATAAATAAAATGTAGATTAAAAACTAGCTAACTCTGTGACCTTGGGAAAATTCCATTATCTCTCTGAGTCTCCAATTCTTCAGCTGACACATAAATGTCTACTAGGGTCATAGATCCTGACATCCATTTCTCAACTCTCACGTGGGAGGTGCCAAATGCATTTAAAAAATCTTAACTTCTAAAATTGGAACACATATACCATATCTGGAACAACATAACAGTGAGCCAAATGTGTGCAAGTTTACACAGATGGACATGTGTTTGCTAGGATCGTTAATTTCGCATGATAGCAAGTAATGTAGTATATGTACATGGCTGTAGAATAGCCGGGAAGATGTAACATGAGTTTGTGAATCACGCAGGGCCTATTGTGAAGAGCTACGGATTACATGGAAAGGACTATGTTCCTTTACTCATTCATTCCATCACTCATTCATGCATTTGACAACTGCACCTTGAGTGCGTGTTATCGAGTGCTATGTGTGGTCCTGGGCACACTGATGAGCAGGAATAAAGACATTGCCACTCTTTTGTGGCTCTCGTTTCTGTTGAGCACAGTTGTCAAATATTTACACAAACAAGAATATAATTAACATTAAAGTATGTATCTTTAAGCAAGTTCTATGAGCCAGTAGCAAAGATACATGACCTGGGCTATGAAGACAAGCAAAGAAAGCTTCCTGGAGGAAATCACTTGTGAACTGAAAGCTGAAGGATGGTTTTTAGGAGACAATGAGGGAAGGGAAAGTCTTCAAGCAAAGTCCCTGCAATGCGACAGCTTGCTGCATGGGCTTGGGGAAGGGACACTGAGTTGCAAAATCACAGGACTCTACTTTCAGTATCTACTTATATTTCCCAAGAACCTTAGGCCATCTTAAAAAACATGACATTAAGTGCATTTCTTACAGAAAGGTGCACAAATGACAATGTACAGTGACTTTCCACAAAATGCACATACTTAAGTAACTACACCTAGATCAAGAAACACAAGTGACCAGCGCCTCAGAAGTGTCTCTGGTCCCCTCCCAGTTGTTAACCCGCCCCCACTTCTCACCCATCTTCTAACTTCTCGCAATGTGCAGTGGACTGCCCGCTCTTGAACTTGTGTGTGTCTTCTAGCCGGGCTTCATCCTGTGTGGGACCAACATCCAGCCATGATGTGGACTTCTAGATTCAGTCTCCCATGTGAATGTGCCACAATCGCCATAACCATTCTCTGTTGATGGGCTTCTGGGTTGCTTCCAGCTTGGGGCTGTTGAGAATTAATTCCTGTGGCTGTCTTTGGGGTCACATTGGACCACTTCACTTTGGGCCCATGCCCAGGAACCGAAGTTCTGGTCCTATGGGACACTGTGCTCAGCGCTAATGGACACAGGTTAGGTCATTTTAAAAACCGCAGTGAATCAGGCCTTTCGAGGTTCAAAGGATGAGGATGTGGTGGCCTCAAGGTGAAAGTGTGGCTGGTCTATCCTGTCAGCAGAGAGAGCTGGGTGTGGCTAACTTCTGAGCATGATGCTCCAGGACTAATCTTCCAGGGGCAACCAAAGCTCATGGACACGGAACCAAAAAGATGGGAGAAGGAAGCTACCTGGACCGCATTCAAAGGCAAGGGAAGCTCGGTCGTTTGAAATGAACCTTCTCGGCTTGGGCTGATTTGTCGTTACCAATGACCCTCTGCCAAACCCACATTCCTATGACGCCACCCCCATAACCCCCAATTCCCCAACCAGTAGAATTCAACTCTATGAGTCTCCCAATGTGATACTTAAAATGTGATACTAGTCCACTTCCCCAGCCTTTTGGGGGAGGTGTATCTGCGTCTTGGGGTGCTTACCTCCTGGTGATGAGAGTCTCAACATTCAAGTTTCTATTTCCCCCAACCTTGAAGTAGACCTTTGACATTTATATGCGTTTGGAAGATGAGACCCTGATTTCTTAGTGTAAAAGGGGCCAGGAAGGGGTGCTCCATGCCACCCTCAGACCACGACCCTGCCACCCACTGCAGACACCTCCTGGGTTCCAGCTCCCAGGCTGAGCGTCTATTTTCAGTGTCCTGAGCCATTTTTTCTAGAAGAAACAGGCACAGATGCAAAACGCTTTGTAGGTTTTTGTCCGAAACAATTATATTGTCAGTGCCCTAAAGAGAAAAGGTTTAAAGACTCCGAAAATATAAAGGTGAACGAGTTCCCCTGGAGCAGCTGAATTCTGTCTGGCTCTTCCGGACCTTTGCTTGGCCCTTACCTCCACCGCTGTCTTCTGTCCTTGCCGTGGTCACCCCCATCCTCTGGTACATAAAGCTTTGACATCCACCAGCCGCTCCCCTTGCATCCTCGGCTCTTCAAGGTCATCTCCTCCTGCTTGTTCAGTTCTCACTTTGGTCTTTTCTTACTCCCCGCCCCCTCCGCCCCAACCCCCTACCCCATGACCTGCTGTCTCTTTCTGACATTGTGCTGTTTGGCTAAGTAGCTCCAGTAGTGTATGGCTCATAAAAGTGCTCAAGAAATAATTACAGGATGAATGAATGCGGTGACTGAAACGTTAGATAAGCTGGCTTGAAGGAACTTGCTCTTGGGTGGCCTTCTCTGGGATATCCATGAGCCATTTGCTCCTCTGGCCCCCATGGCACTGAATGGATCTGAACTTGGCAAATCATTTGTTCCTGTGTGCCTGGAGATCAAGCAGGCCAAGGTTCTGCTGGGCAGGTGGCTCCCAACCCCTGGCATTTGGCTCTGAGCCAGAGGACACGGTGAAACCCAGGTGTGAGCATTATGTCAATGATTGACTGTGGCCAAGACTCTGTTGCGTATTCCCAGGCACACGTTGTGAATGCATCATTAATTGTGGCCCTGGAGGCAACCTATACCCTGTCTTCCTGGGAGATGGCCAAGGTGAAGCCTCCCACCATCAATCCTTGGAGATTAGACGAGAAGGTGGATGGGACTCACCCAGCCTGACTCCGAAGGCAGTTTTCATGAAAGTCCCAGTGCAGAAGACAAAGCAAAGCGCCCCTGTTAGCTCAGGGACGCCCTGTCCACTCGCAAGAACTGACACTTTTCCTTCTGTTTGGGCAATGAGAAATGAGAAGCCTGGCTCAGACTCCCCTAGCTCGTCCTAGTGTTCAATGCCAGAACTGGCCCCTCCTGTATCCCCCCTTCCTTCCCTGGCAGGAGGGGGATACTGAGGAAGAAGCATGGGCGAGTTCAGCAGAGACAGGCCTGGCTTCCCTGCTGTGGGCCCTTGGACTTCCAGGCCATTTGATTTAAAAAACGCTATTGATATCCTCCATGTTCTAGGCACTGGACCAGGGTCTGAAAATTCATGGTTCAATAACAAAAATTAATGGTTTAATATCACTAATAGCTATGGCTGCCATTTACTGGGTACAGTACACTGTAGAGCAGGGGTGAGTCAGTCAAGACTGTGGCCACTTCCACCCGCTAATCGGTTTTATGCAGAACATGGCTCACACTGTCGAGTTCCACAGCCACAACAGAGAGGGTCTGGCCTGCAAATCCTGAACTATGTATCATCTTGTCTTTGCTAGAGAATGTCTGTGACTCCCACAGCTTAGGAGGTTTGAGGAAGTGGTCCCGCCACTCTGTGCCTCAATTTTTCACCTATCAAAGCACCTCTGATGTGGGGGCGTGGGGGGGCGAGGGGGGTTTGTGACATATGAGCAGGGACCAGAATAGAGCCTAGCACATGGCAAAGGCCTTTCAGAGTTATTTCCTCTTCCCAGTAACTCTAGGAGGCAAGTGTGCTCACCACCCCATTTCACAGATGAGAAGTTTGAAATCTGACAGGGGCAGTGATGGTTCTTTGGGCACACGGTGAGGACTTGGAGTCAGGGTGTCTGCCAGGAGGGCCCAGGAGGGCCCAGGAGCAGAAGCGAGATCCACAGAGCACAGGGAACAGGTGCAATCCCGGAGGTGAGGGCCTCGTGCAGGAAACACCGGGCCTGTGAGGCCACAGAAGAGGGCAGGCATCTTGACCCAGTCAACCAAGGGGGACTCCCTGGAGGCTGTGATGAGGAAGCAGGCTGCCTGGTGAGAAGGGCCCAGGCGGTATTGTTACCTTGTTGCCTCTAAGTGGAGACAGTCTCCTGTCCATCAGGAGCGGAGGCTGGAGAGCCTGAGCCAGGAGACTGAGCCAGTCTGTGAGCATACCGTCTCTCGGTTTTCCCTGATTGCCCTCAAAGCCAACACACTACAAAGGACTCCCCTCCAGGAGAGTGGGTTACCACTGCTGAGGGTGTGACTCAGTATCCCCAGGGAGCACCAGTTCTCTGTTCCCTATCTCACTGCTCCTGACCCCTGTCCACATTTCTTCTCTCAATCCCTCCCACCAGTTGTCTGGCACGCAGCACTCAGACCTTTCATATAACCTGCCTGGGTGATTTCCAGTACCTTCCTCTGCAAATCTGGTCCATGAGTCTCTTGCCCCCTTGTGTCCATTCTGAGAACTGCAGGAAAGTTCTGAAAACCCAGAAGGGTTTTTCTACCTCCACCCCAACCAACTCAGCCGGCAATTCAGCCCTGGCTCAAACAGATTTTATCCCAAGCTTTCTAAATTCCAGGACATGAAAGGCAGTCTCAGTTGCCTCGGAGTCAATCACTGAACACCCGGGAACATCAAGCACAATCGGGACTCTGGTGGGCTCTGCCTTTTTCAATTTTATTCTGTTCATCCATTAGGTCTACATTTATGCATTCATAGATTTAAGGTTTTTAAGATTAGGAAACATTCTCCATAACATGAAGGGGCTTGACAGATGGCAAGTTATCCATGAGAGGGTGCTGAAGGAGTGCAGGAATGAGCTAGTGAATGAAAAGGAGGTTGATAGAAGCAAAGCGTTTGCAGTCACCTTTCCCAAACCTGTCGTGTTCCAGCATTTCCCATCTCCCTATTGTCCAACCTATGCTTTATGGTCCCTATAATCATTCTGGAACCCTGGAAAAATTAAAGTAGAAGACTGGAATAGGGTGCGGGGGCTCATTTTCTGGTCCCTGGTTGTGTGTAAACCCTGCACCTTGCCCATGTTTAGAGTCTACCAGCTGAGAAGAAAGCCCTGGTGTCTAAATTTTCCTAAGTACCTGTCATCTTTTCTTTAGGGATACAGGACAGGGCCATAGTTCTCAGCCTTTCAGCTGGTGGCAATTATAGTCACTGGCATGAAAATGCAGGGATGGTCACCACCTCCTGGCCAGAGGCTCCGCCACCCTCCATGGCCCCCCTCCACCTACTGACCCCAACTTCTGGCCACACAGAGGAAACTTCAGGTGGCTCAGAGGCCCTGGACGGAGATGGAGCCACCAACTGGAAGGAGCTGGGCTCTTGAAAGACTGTTGGGAGCAGAGCTCCATCTCTAGCTCTGGCTGCCATCTGGGCTTTGCAAGAGCAAGAAATGAATGTAATCCTGAGTCTCGGAAATGCTGGTGTTTACAATCAGGTGATGTCCCCTGGGTTCACACACGAGCACCGTTACCTGTGCAGCTGATGGGCTCCAATCTGTTGCCCTCAAAAAACAGCTTCAGATCGGGGGCCTTCTTAACCTCAAACTCCTTCTGAAGATCTGTCTCAACTGTGATGTCCACTTTGCCAAAGCCGAGCCCATTCTTGCCTTTGCCCATGATCTCCATGGCTTTGCCCAGCTCCTCAGCCATGTTCCTCGATTGCTTTGAGGATGGGTTGTCTAAAAGAGCCAACAGGAAGAGAAAGAATTTGCTAGCGTCTCCCCTCGCCCCATCTCCTGAGGAGGTGGCGTGGAGTGGCCAGCTCAGCTCAGGGGCCTTTCTGATGCCCTTTGAACTGTGACGGGGAGGGGCCCATGGCTTAGGAAAATGATCAGCCTGGGAGACCGACATCCTCAAGTGGGTCAGTGACAGTGGTAACACCACCATTTTGGAAACTCATTTCTCTAAGCGCTGGTTCATTGTGGGTAAGATGGGAAAGTCACAGAGACCACGCACAGAGCTGTCAGAATCATAGAGGGTATATGTAGAAATCAGGTGGACAGCGATTACTATTTTCTAAGAGCTTTCCATGGATTAAGTTATTTAATTCTCTAGAACCACTCTGGGGGAGTGTTGTTCATATTACCTCAATTGTCTAGATGACGAAACTACTGCACAAGGAAATGACCTTTTATCCCCCAAACTCTTGGGGCAGAAAGAAGCACGTAATGTGTTTTATGTTGCTGCTATTATTATTACTGTACATTTCCCTGGTCAGAAGATAGGAAAGGGAGAGCGCACAGAAGAGAGACTGTGAGGCCTCGAGCGCCATCTGGTGGAACGTTTGGTGACTAACAGGTCAAACCGGGACGCTCAGGTTGCCTTATAGAGTAATAGGGGAGGCTCTCAAGGAAGGGAGGGCAGGTGTGAGAAGATGGAGAGTGTGGAGAAGCCATGATGGATGCTCCCCTATCTCCCTCAGGACCACCCACCTTGGGAAAGCACGTAAAATGTTATGAGAAAAAGATTGTTCTGTCCCTTTCCCCATTGCAGTGCCGCTTGGGGTTCTGGGTATGAGTAGGAGAGCCCTCTTCTGTAAACAGCCTCAGAGAGTTGGCTCTTCATTCTGGTAGCAGGAGAAGACTTCCCAGTCCAAAGAGGAGGGGACTAAAAGGCACTCAAGTGTGCCTTCCTTCCTCCAGATAACACTGTGAGTTTGTGGGCCCCTCAACTGACCACCCCAGTGCCTGCTGGGGTGACTGATGCTCTTAAAGCCAAAGAACTGGATATTTGATCTTTTTCAAGCCCTCCATCCATCTTGGGTGCTTGGAGGAAAGTGTACATCACCTCCATTGCTGTGGGGAAATTCCAAGCCCTGCAGAGAGTTTCTGTAAGGCAAATCCAGAAGGCTGAGCCTGGACAGCTGGACCCCGCCACTCCCGGCCACTCAGCACACCTCTGCCGGTGAGGGAGCCCAGAGGTGAATCATTTTCATTAAATTCCCAGTCAATGGATGGGAAGAGGACTTGTTGCCTCCCTGTCCACTGTCTGCTTTATCTCCTTCATCACCGTCGATACCCCCATCCATCACCTCCTGCAAGTGCTGGCCCATTGCTGGCTCCTCTGGCTTTCTTGTGGGTCTGGCCATGCCTGGCTCAGAGGTGCAAGTTGACACACTGTCCATCTGAGTTTCTAGGTTGAGAAGCTCAGAAACAGATGTGCTTGGACTGCTTGTCCCAATGGGGCTTCTGGAGCTTTTCCATAATATCCCGAAGTCAAAGTGGGAGAAAGAGGTTGTGGGAACCAGAATGTTGAGAACTGAGAGCTGTATAGACAGGATCTGACAATAATAATATTGAGGAGCCAGCCAGCCAGCCACCCACCCACCCATTTGTTCATCCATCCATCCATCCATCCATCCAATCATCCATCCAATCATCCATCTAACCAATCATTTATCCATCTGTCCATCCATCCAACCAACCTATCATTCACCCATTAATCCATCCATCCATCCACCCATCCATCCATCCATGCATCCATCCATCTATCCAATCATTTGTCCATCCATCCATCCATCCATCCATCCATCCATCCATCCATCCATCCATCCATCCGTTGGATCATCCATCCATCTGTCCATCTGTCCAATCATCCATCCACCCATCCATCCAATCTGTTTTAGGATTCTCCATGTGCATTTAACAATAAATTGACCAACGGTTTATTAATAAACTCTCTCATTGGAGAGGACAGAAAATTTAAAACTAAATAAACAAAGTAGAATATATGCCTTCCTCCCTTAGATACTCAGTGCTATGGGGGGTAAAAGAATTGCTAGTTAGGAGTGTCAGGGAGGGTAGCAGCCTCACTGAGGAGCAACATTTTAATAATGACTGAAGGAGACGAGGGAGCCGTGTGTGATTAGCTGGAGGGAGTGCATTCTGGGCAGAGGAACTGTAAGTGCACGGGCCCTGAGGTGGGGCTCTGGGTGACATGTGTGGGGCACAGGCCACCGGCCAGGTCTGAGCAGAGTGAGTCAGGGCGGAGATAAGATGGTGTCAGGCTTTGTGGGTCACCGAGTAATTGACCTTTCCTCAGGGGGCTGTGTAGGGTCCAGGGCAGAATTAGATGAAAAGTGTTTGGCTCACTGGGTTGCTGAGAATGGTGTGGGGCTGGACCACAGAGGGCAAGCCCTGCCTGCAGGGAGACCCACTGGAGGCCACCGCGGAGGTCCAGGTGAGACCCTGAGTGGTGGTGGTAAGGGGTGAAGCATGGCAGAGTCTTGAGAGATTTTGTAGAAGAGTTGACTGACTGTGTGAATAGATTGGATGTGGAGAATGGGCGAAAGAGGGCGTTAAGCCTGATGCTGAGATTTTGACTGGAGCAACCGAGAGGATGCTTGTTGGTGTAATGGTGATGACGGCCATGACTGGAATGGCAACACTTACTGAGCACTCACTCTGCTGAGCCCTTCGCTAAATGTCACCTGCGTATTCTGATGATAAGTTCTCTACTGTTATGGGTGAGGCACAGCAAACACGCATAAGTAGAGGCTCAGTGGCGGGACACCCAGGAAGTGGCTGAGATTCGGCACCAAGGCTGCCCCAAGATCGACGTCCCAGGTCCCTAGCTGACTGCCCACGTAAGCGGGGCTGAAAAATCTCCCTTTTTCCTGGAGGGGAGAGATGGGGCTGCATCGCCCATCTCTGTTCTGCCCCATTAGGGCAGAATCTGTAGCATTAAATCCACTCTTAATGATTCACAGTCCCCCTTTCTGTCTTTTTACAATTTCCAAGTTGGTTTTACCCCTGGCGTCTGGATCACTGGATTGTGAGTCTGTACAGGTGAAGTGAGTGTCTGTTCTCTCTCGGCATTCGGGGACTGTGTTCTACAGGAAATGCCACTTGGGTCAGAGCAGGGAGGCAATTCACTGCTGTTGGCAGAACAGTGTCCAGTGGACTGTGGGTGAGCAGGGAGCCCTTCCCGGGAGGCCAGGAGCGCCTATGGGTGCAGCCTTCCTCAGCTCCAGTGCACCACCCTAGATCACTGTCTGTGCATGCAATGAACTTGAATTCCATAGATAGTCTCTTCACACAGAGTTATGGTCTCACACAGCATTGTGACCCAGGAGAGGTGTTTTTAAGCTCTGTGCCTGTTTCCTCATCTGCAGACTGGAGATGCAGCCAGGTCCTCACCTTAGGATGAGCTCACTTCGTGACATAAGGTGAGCCAAGCTCTCGCACAGAAGTGCCAAGAAACACGGGCCATTCTGAGGATGTACGTGGCGTCCTCCTATAACTGGGTTCTCTCTGGGAAGGGAGGGTCCCTTGGAGATATCGGGGTCCTCAGCAGATCTTCTAGTTCTTGGGGAAAGGAAAGCAAGGGTGACCCACACCTAGTCACCCCAAGACCTGAGTAAGTGGTGGGACTCACATGCTTATGTGCCTTTGGGGGTGAGCACAGAGCCTGGGTCATGTTAGAATAGGCAGCGACTCTGCCTGGTGTTAGACCTGTTAATACCCAATGGACTGAGAGTCAGTGTCTGCCTGGGTTTTTAGCAGAGAACCCCAGATTCCTCTTCTGAGCAGCTGCTGTGAGTCGGGGGAGGTGGTGGGAGGGACTAGGTGGGAATGGCGGGACTGGAGATCAAGCTTCCAACACAGGGGACTGAAGTCGGCCTCTCTTCACAGTGTTTCTCGGCAGGGGACATCTGACCGTGTTTGGGGACACCTTTGGCCTTCACGACTGGACTGCTGCTGAGCAGAGGCCAGGGGTCCCGCTAGTCATCCTCCAGTGCACAGCACAACTGCCCTTCCTTATGCCACGAAAACCACCCACCACCTTGTCAGTAGGGCCGAGGATGAGAGACCCGGCTGTAGACCAAGTTCCAGGTGGAGCATGGAGAAGTATTCTGAGATCAATCCTCCCCCCATTCCACAGGGTCCTTTAGAGCTAAGAGGAATGTGCCGCCGGTAGGGACTTCAGCGTGCTGGTCTGTCCCCTCACTCCCCAGGGGCCAGTTAACAGATTTCTCTCTCACTGTCAAGACTTACAAGGTCCCAGTGTTAGCAGCTTACTTCTGTTCTCTCTTAACAACTCAGCATTAAGCACCCAGACACCTCCCTACCTCAGGGCCTTTGCACTCACCCTCCATTTTTCCCTAAATTGCTGCCCACCAGGCTTCATGTCTGTGCTGACTTGTGCCCTTTCGAAAAAGCCTTCAAGTTCTCCCCTATAAAATCTCACCCCACCTCTACCCTCCCTTGAACTCCCTTACTCTCCTCATCTGCTTTTCTCCCTCATACTTTGAACCAGAGCCATCTTCCATTTTTTAACTAATTTATCTGTTTTTCCTGAGTCTCCCTTTTCAGGACGTAAGTTCCAAGAAGCAGGGAGGTCTATCTGTTTTCATTCCTACTCAGTACCTATAACATATCTGGTACATGACAAGTATTCAATACATATTTAATGAATGAATCTCCCAGTTATCAGCACAGTTTGTAAGATGAATTGGACACCAGTATTGGTGTCACACCTGATCTCCAATCCAGGCTTCATCTCTTACCAGTTGTGTGACTGCAGGCAAGTCATCAATCTTTCTGAGACTTATTTCCCTTGTATGTAAAATGGAGCCATGAGGCCAAGCCAGTGCCTGGAGTCATCCACCTCCTCCCCCCTCCTCTTCCTCATCACCACCATTGTTGTCATCATAACCATCACCATCTCCGTCCATGTCACCGTCACATCTAGCCTGCTCCCAGGGAAAATTCTTGCTCCCTTCTCCACTTTAGGGCCAACAAAATGATCCTAAAGATAACTGATTAATTTCATTTGACTGCTTCTTGCTGACCACCACTATCCCTTTTCCTTGTCTCATTTGAGAACATTATGGGCCACAGGATATCTCATTTCCTTCCTTCATTCCTTCACTCATTCAACACCTCTGCAGCCTACAAGGCTCCAGCCGATGTCAGGTGTGAGAGAGCACCTGATGACTACAACTTGTCCCCTGCCCCCCATGGAAGTTTTAAAGAGATTTTAATGCAGTCCAAAAAATTCTATGAGAAGGAGGGTACAGAAGCTATGTGATCACACAGGTGGCTCTCCTAGCTAGGCTGGGGAGTGGGGGGTGAAGGTGGATAGAGCCTCCAGACCATGAACTTCAACCACCCGATACAGACAAAGATTGCAAGAACAGTGCAGGCAGAGAGAACTGTAAGTGCAAAGGCCCTGGGGCCTGGGTCGGTGAAGGCAGATTCTAAGTAGAGACATTATGGCCATGTGAAGGAGTTTGGTTATTAAGAGAATCTTTGAGGGTCTTTCCCCAGGAAGATTTGCATTTTAGGAACAAAATCACATAGTACATCGTAACGACAGCCCTGGAAGAACTCCCTGGTGCCATAGCACTTCAGCTGGGCTGTTATGGGAGCTGACTAAGGTACCGCAGGGCCGGGGGAAGTGGGGAAGTGGAGATGGCAGAGGCTTTCAGAGGTGGGGCCAGTAAGACTTGGAAGTCTTCCAAGACTTGCAAGACAATTAAGACCGGTGACAAATCAGAGCTAAGAACAGAGAGTAGTCAAGACTGACCTTGAGATTTCTGAATGTGACATTGGGTGGGTAGCCATGATCTCAGTTAAGGATGATGTGATCTCAGTTAACCTAGAAGGTTGTCAGGAGCAAATCAAAGATGCAGAGGTCTGTTTTGTGTATACGTGACACTTGTGATGTGAAAGGGGCCATCTGGAAGGACAGATATGCCTTGCCACTGGCTCTCAAGCCAGCTCAGAGGAGAGAGGAGGATTGGATAGAAGCTGAGATACAAGGAGTATCCCGGGGGACAATACTGGCAAGCTCCCTCTTGTGGAGTCCATTTACCCCTGGGGAAAAGCTATTGAATGTTCTCCCCAAGTGATTAGTTTTTCCAAAGATAATTTGGGAGGCTGCCGGTCTTTGAAAACTCACTTTGATTTCGACAGTGTATTGGAAGGGCTTTAAATGATTTTGATCGAACTTTATGCAAATTACTTTCACCTTGGCATTCTTGTCTGGAAATTAAGGTGGGTGAATGTCCATGTTGTCTTTGAAAAGATGTTGGCGATGTTGCCCAGTATTTAGCCATAAAGAAAGTCCCCTGGCCCTCTGAAGCAAGGAGGTAGCCCTCAGCCCAGCTGGCCCGCCGCCCCGGTGTGGGGGACACTCACGGAAAAGCACCATGAGGAAGCGGGTCTGGTTCAGCATCTGGGTCAGGCCGGCCGCTGTCAGCACCATCAGGTTGCCCTCCACCACAATGTGCAGGGGCCGGGGGAGGTGGACAGTGGCTTCCTCGATGTCCAGCTCTGGAGACCCATGGACGGCCGACATACAGGAGGCCACCAGCAGCAGTGTCCCCCTGAATGGCTCCATGGCGGTCCTGTGGGACAGGAGGAACAGGAGGCTTGTCAACGCAGGTGGCCAGGGCCCCTTGTCTCTACTCCCTCCCTGCCAGGCCAGTCGGGGATGGAAAACGGCCATGCCCACTCCAGCCACACTGGCAGAAAGGCTGGCTGTGGGCTTATGGAAACTGCGAGGGGGTAGCTCAGTGTAGCGGGGAGCAGTGGGGTTCTACTGAACCCCCAGACACAAGGTGAGGATGGTATAGATATATTCACCTCTCTAGACTCTGGGGTGAGCCTCTGCTCCAGAGAAATGACTGTGCCCCTCACCCCCCTGCACAGCTTCTGCTTCATGCTTCTGCAGCTCCTGCTTGAATTCTCCTGGTGATGGGAAGCTCACAACCTCACCGTCTACTCATTTGGTTTTTAGATACATTTTCTGCTCAAGTATAGCCATTTCTTTCAAAAGTCAGCCTCATAATATATACTTGTAAAAATTCCAAGCCATGTAATAAAAATATGTTAAAGAGAAAATAAAAAGCTCTCTCATAAACCCTCCTCCAAGAAAGCTGCTGTTAAATGCCTATGTGAATGTCCATTTGAATGTGCATCTTTAAAATGGAATCAGAACTGTCTATTGTTCAGTGCGCTAAATTTCTTACTTGAGGATGCAAAATATGTGGTAGATTCCTTCCCAGAAGCCCACAGAATAGATCTGTAGCACGATCTTTCTTTCTTCCCCCACTGCTGACTGACTGATGGAGGGGTTGACAGCTCGCAACTGCTTGCATGGTCCAGGCCAGCAACTGCCTCTCTCTAAGTTCCAATCCCCTGACAATTGTCTCCCCCGACCATTTTCCTTCTTGCTTATTTCTCTGAGCAGGGTTCTTTCTAGCTCCATTCACGTTGCTGCAAATAGCATGTGTTTATCTTTTTGTTTGCTGCATAGTATTCCATTGTGTATATGAACCATGTATCTTCTTGATCCAGTCATCTATTTGGGGGGGTTTGTGTTTCCATATCTCACCAATTGTGAGTAGAGCTGAGATAAACATAGGGGTGCATGTATTCTTTTGAATTAATGTTTTTGTTTCTTTTGGGTAGATTCCTAGGAGTGGACTTGCTGGATCATGTGCTAGCTCCATTTTTAATAAGTTGAGGAACCTCCACACAGCTTTCCATAGTGGTTGGGCCAGTCTGCATTCCCACCAGCCATGTAGGAATTTGGAAATGGAGACTGGAAGTGTATTTTTGTATTTTGTTTGCAAAGCAGACCCTTGAAATTCATAGCAGGAAAGGGATTTTGAGTACCCAAAGGTCTCTGCTGTGAGTTCTGGGTTTGGAAGAACATGTTGACAGGAGCATTTACCTGCCCCAAATGAGATTCAAGCTTGCCTTCTGGTTAAAAGGGATAGAAGGGAGATGAGCAGTTTTGGTTCTGCTGGGGTCCTGAGAGAGATGTCCTTCTTTTTTCTTACGACACATGCTCCTTTCTGGGGAGGGAGGCAGAAGGGGGTGAAATAGACAACAGTCCTTGTCTTCAAGGAGCTCATATTCTGGGAGAGGGACAGTGAGGTGAACATATAGTATGTCAGATGAGCAAGCGATGAGGACAGAAGTAAACAGGGAAGACCAGTATTGAACACTGACATTTTGAATGGAGTGAAGCATTACCCAGAAGCTGACATTTGACAGAAGGCAGCAAAGAAGTCAACTATTTGCATTTCTGGGAGGGAGAAGTGTGGGAGCAGGGTCGGGAGTAGTCTGTCTCTGTCTCTGTCTCTCCCTCTCTGGTCTTCCTCTTGCGCTCTCTCCTGAGACCCCCTGGTTATGGCTCAGCCTCACCTCACGACAGGATTCCCCTCAAACCCTATTCTTGTTCGGGTCCTGCACTGTCCCCTCAGCCCCTCTGAGCCTTCGTTCTCTGGGCCTGCGAGTCCTTTGTCCCTGATCCTGCTCCTCCATGTCTCTGGGGAGCTATTTTCCCTGGCCCGATTCCAGGCCTACCTGCCCAGCCACAGCTGAGGGAAGCCGTGATGAGAAACTTGCTCCTCAGAATGGGGACCCCAGTCACAGTCGGAACAGCTGACACGGAGGACTCGCTCCTGGCCACCCTGCTGACTCCGGTGAGGGCCTCCAACCCTGGGGGTCCCACACAGGGCTCTGCCCCCTCGTGCTCTTTGTCTCTACAAGTCCCCTCTTCTCTCAGGCCCCTGGGCTTGGGTGCTCCATTCTCCCCACTCTGCTGTGTCCTTCTCTGTCCTCAGCACCCTATCTAGGGCCTGGGCCTCTGCTGGACACACTAACCAGAGCCTTAGCCTCTCTGGTCATTCAGTCCAGCAAGGACTTCAGCCACCCAGGTTTCCTGCCAGGCACCACCTCCCCCACCTCCGCCGTACCCGCTCTCAGCCACATCACCTCTGTTGGGGGTCAAGTTTTTTGTTATTTCTGGATGTGCCTTGTTTGTATCTCTAAATGTCAAATGTCACCGTCTTTGTTCGTGGCTGTTTCCCGCCTCCTTGTCCAGTGTCTGGGCCAGGTTTGGAACTCAGAGAGTGTTTTATCTAATTAACAAAGGAACAAATGAGTCAATTTAATTCTCACACGAACCCCTGGCCCATTCCAGAGTTTCTCAACATGATCACACGTTAAAATTCTTCAGGGGAGTGTTAAAAAGCACAGATGCTGGCGTCCAACCCAGACGTGGGATTGATCTGGGTCGGGGGGGGGGTCTGGCATCACCCCTAGGTGACCCTAACATGTAGCCGTTTATGCCAAAACCCACACTTATATTTGGGATGACTTTGGCAGAGAGACTGGAGGATCAGTCACCATTTCACACAAGCTCATACCTGCGGGAAACCTGATTCCTTTCAGTCTGATGGGGTCCACTCAGGCAGCAAACTGTGGTGCTGAAGTAGAGAAGCTGTGGCCTGAAGAGCAGGCTCCCAGCTCCCCTTTGTGACCAGAGCAGGCCCTGTAGGAAGCTGGATGTTCTACGGAAATCCGAAGGCAGAAGTGGGGTTCAGAAGTGGACGCAGAGAGCCCCCAGCAGCTCACCAGCAATGTTCTGAGTTCTGGGATTCTGGAGGGCCAGTGTGCCTCTGGAGAAGAATGGGCCATTGTTGAGTAAGAGGGGCCCTGCCCTTCCCTTGCTGAGAGGAGGTTGCCCAGGGATAGGGAGAGAGAGAACATGGGAAGACCACTGTTCTCCAGGATGCTGGGTATAGAGCATAGAAGGTTCCTGAACTTGATGCCTATGGATTGGAATTTAAATTCCAGCTCTGTTCCTGAGTAGCAGTATGTCTCTTGTGCTCCCTGAGCCTCAGTTTCCTCACTCACAAAATGGCATATGACTCATAGGGTCATATGCCTAAGAGTCAAATGTGGTGGTACAGGCAAGCAGCATAGTATAAAAATTGGAGGCAGAATACTCAATTCTTCCCTCACTTTTTAATGCTAATCATTTACACAACAAATTTGAAATCATCACACCTTCAATCGTTTTTTTCAATCATACCCTCAAAAAGCTGGAAGAAATATATTGAATGTTTGAAAGCGATACATTCTAAGGGGGGAGATCAGTCAGAGAATGGAGGGTGGGACCTGTCAGAAGAGACAGGATTTCAGTTTGGGGTCAGGAGATGGTCAGCTGAGACAAGGGTGACAAGGAACACAGAAGAGTGTGGAGGGAACTTCTGGCACAGAGAAAGGCCAGCATCAAGCTGAGCTGGCTGGAGCTAGTTTGCAGGGACAGAAGAAACTATTGATAGTCAGGAACTGTGCAAACCGGTTGTTAAAACTTCAGCACCTTGGCCCTCCCTGGTGGCGCAGCGGGTTAAAGCACAGCACTGAGAAGCTAAAGCCGCTTCCGCATGAGTTAGATTCCCACCTGCCCCGGAGGTGACCACATGGCGCGGCAGACCTCTCCTGACCCGCCCGCTGCTCCCCTCAGCAGTGTACTTAGTCAGTCGGCTTGTTCTTTTCCCCACTCTGTCTCTGGTGAAGCCTCTCGCCGCCCCTGACCCTCTGGCATGTACCCCAGTTCTGTATGCACAAATAAATAAATCTTTAAAAAAAAAAAAAAAAGTTCAGCGCCTTGAAATTGGCCCTGGCATGAATGTTTAACCACAGGTATTGGCAAACACGAGTCATTTTGGCAGTGGTTGGTCTCAGACTGCTGGTTTACCAGCTGCCCCACTATGGATGCAAACAAATTGCAGGGAGATGCCAATTGGAGCAAAGTGGGGAGCTGGAGGTGGGAGGGGGGAGAAGACCCTTGAATTCTGTGGGCACTTGAACCACCTCTTGGAACTTGAACCCTGTGTGAGACATGGAGGTTTTTGTATTGTAAATAACTTTATGTAGGGATCACTTACATACTATACAATTCACTCATTTGAAGTGTGCAATTATGATGCTTATACATGATTTTCTTAGGAAATTTTCAGTGGTCTGCAGCCATGACCACAATTCAAATTTAGAACTCCCATCATGTCAAAGAGACCCCAGGCGCCCCCCGCCCCCCATTCGCCTCGTACCTGCTCACAAAACCAGCCCCAGATCACTGCTCATCTTCGTGTGTCTGTGTACGAGAGGGTTTTGAGCAAACAAGGGGCATGCTTTGACGTCTTGCTGTCACTGTGGTATCTTTGCTGCTAAGACATAACGCAGTTCTTGTACCCCGCTCAGATTATGTGGTGTCTGAATTTGCAGGGGAGCACCCCTTAGGTCAGGCCTTCCACACACAGGTGGCAGAGCTGGAAATTCATCACCATTGCAGGTGGTCAAATAGGGTTGTGGGGGCACTCTTGCTGGCTCCATAGGTGCTGGCCCTGGGAAGCCACTGCAGCTCTTGTTGGCTGCTGGCAGTGCCCTCTGTCAGCAGCAGAGGCGCCAAGGCCAAAGTTCCTGGTGGGAGGCCTGGTCAGCAGATTCCTTCCCCAGCACACAGGAGTGTTTACAGACTCCTGCACTCGGCTGCAGCACGGATAGAAGCCCTTGCCATTTCGTGGCTCAAGAACAAGGTAATGGGAGAAACCCTTCAGCTAGCTGCAGGTGTGTCAAGAATCTTGGGTGGGAGGCAGAGTTCACAGAGGTGGCAAGTTGGGGAGGTCAAGAGGGGAGTCCAGAAACAGCAGCCCCCCACCCTCACCCCCACCCCGTAGGTGGCCACAGCAGGGGCCAAGCAAGGCCTAGGCCTTTCTGGGAGGGGAGACCCAGAAGTCACTTTCTCCTCCAAGACTGGCTTTATCTGTAAAATGAAGACAATAACACTAACACCATTATGAGGATTTAAGAAAATAATATTTATAAAACATTCTCCAAGAGCTTGGTATGAGGTAAGCCTTTGGCAGACGGCAGCTACTGTTGCAATAACAACGTGACACTTACTGGTTATTATCTCAGTCCATGTGAGCTCCTGCAAACAAAACATTGAACACTGTGCATGGGGTGCTTTTAAGCAACATTGATTTCTGGCAGTTGTACAGGTTGCGGATTTCAGGGGCAAAGAGCCATGGCACTCTCGGCTTGCCTCTTAGTTCCCAGCTCTGACCTGGAGAGGAGGAGAAAGGGGCCTCGGTCCTCTGAGGTCCCTTTGATGAGGGCAAGAACCCCACTCACGGGGGATGTTCCCACAGGGCCGAAACACCTCCCCAAAGCCCTACCTCATGACACCACCACTTTGAGGGGCCTGGAGTTAACATATAGGGGGACACACTGGATCTCGGCCAGTGCTCATTACCACCCTCACCATTATTATTCCCAAGAAGAGCGTGGCAAGGGGAGCTGGGCTTGGGGACCCAGCCCCGAGGCCCACACCTCTCCAGCTTCCGTGTGCCCACAGCTCATCGAGGTCTCTGGGAAAGAGCTGGTTCTGATTCCCCAGGGCAGGGTGGGGTGTGAGGGTCTGCTGTGGCACCACCCTTTGAGTAGTGAGAGATGAGACCCCCCGCTGCCCAGGGCGCTGAGCGCAAGCCACTGGCCTAGTGGACTTGAGGTTGGCCAGCACACACTGACTAAGTGCAAAATTCAAGCCCTTGGGACAAAACAGCATGTAAAATAATTCTTTGATAATTTCTATCTATTGGTCACATATTGAAATGGTACGATATAGCTAGCTAAAGAAGATATCTTTTATGATATAATCCTTTTATTTTTATAGAGGTGACATTGGTTTATAACACTACGTTTTAGGAGTCCAGCTTCATGCTTCTTCAAATGTGAACAGTTTTTTGAAAAACAGTTAAAACAGGTTTGTTTTTAAGATTTATTTATTTAGAACTGGAGTATAGGCCAGAGGTGCAGGGGCAGTGAGAGGATTCACCAGAGACAGAGTGGGGAGCAGAACAGGCAGATCGACAAAGTACACTGCTGAGGGGAGCAGCGGGAGGGTCAGGAGAGGTCTGCTGCCCATGAGGGTCACCTCTGGGGCTGGAGATGGAACATACACTAAAAGTGTTTGTGGCCAGCTTGCAGGGTTGCATCCTAACTTTTTGCACCACCAGGGAGGGCCCAAAAAGTTAAAATCATTTTAAAAATCGTATTAAAAAGATGTTTTCTATTTTTTTCACCAGATCTAAACAGATGTTCGTATATTTCTTTGTAGCCATAACCCACTACAGAGCTTCTAACATTGCCCCATAAACTGTATTGGTACAATTCATTTCAATTTTTTTTAACTTCCTTGATGAAACTTCTAGAAAATGATGTGTTATATGGGCAGCTTACATTATATTTTTCTTGGGCGGCACTGCTTGAGAACTTTCTCAGCTTTGTCAAGTCAATTCTGCATTTACCAAAGGTCCTTTGAAGGACTGAGCCTCAGGAGGGGGCTCTGAGTCACTGACCACAGACTTGCAGGCAGTGATGGGGGCGGGAAGGACATTAGACCCAGAAACAAGAAGTGACCAGAACCCACAGCAGAACTAGCACTAGGCCAAGACTTCCACAGCATACACAGCCACCAGGCTGGCCCCAGCTTCTCCCCAGCACACTTTCTCCCAAGCCCAGAGCCCAGGGTAAAATTCCCTTTCCTCACTTTGGTGACAGTCAGGAGGCAGCAGCATGAGGCTGTGGCCAAGAGGCCTGGTCCTCCAGCCGCTCAGGTGTGCCCAGCGATACTGGAGGCCTTACAGGCAGCCTCCACCTGCCCCTCCGAAGATTGTGACCACTTGGGAAGCCATCAGCCTGGGGCAACAGCCGGTGCCCACGTACTTCAACTTTGCCCGTGATGTGCTAGACACGTGGACTCAGCTGGAAAAGGTGAGGTCCCCTGTGTGCCTATGTCCACTTCAAGCAGCGAGCATGCAGGTGGCCTTTGGCCTCCCCAGGGAGCTGCAGGCAATGGGAATTCTGCAAATTTAAAAGTTGAAGGTGTTATCATGTCAGCCTTAGAGAAAACAATGATACCAAGTGCTGTGAGCCTTAAACACCCTAGAGCAATTCCCAGTGGGTCTAACATTCCTGAGCTCAAATCAGTTGGTGTGAGGTGGTTAAGCTCCTTGTAATTCCCTTCTGATCATTCTAATCAAGTGAAGAGGAAGTTGTATTTTGTGGTTATGCTGTTTCATCTCTCACTCTCATGCGCTTCCCTTTAAATAAGAGCACTACTGGGGTTCAAAGCTTGTCACACATCACGGCAGATACCTGGATCCGAACCAGGTTGTCTTGCTTTCTGTGGGTGTCGGTATGACAAATCTCCTTTGCTACTTCCCCTTCCTTACATGTCTTTAGGGTCTCTCTGTATATCATGGTCATCTTTTATTTATGTTAAATGATACTAACTTTGCTTTCTAGGCTAAAATTTTACTTTAAAAAGGTATGTGTGTTCATTTTAGAAGAGATGGTTTAAAGAGAAAAGTTAAACAGCGTAAGAAAAAAGTACAACTCTACTTTGGTAAATAGTAGAGTTTCCACACCTTCTAGTGGGTGTGGAAAAATATTTAGAAAGGTGGTGTGAGAATGAGTAACATGTAAAAGCGGGCTTTGCTCTCAGCTAGATGTGGTTCTCCCACTTGAAGTGTGACTTTAGACGAATGCCCTGGATCTCAGTCTTCACATCTTCCCACTGGGAGTTATACCTTCTGTTACTTAGAGCAGTAAGAATGAATTAGGAAGTGTATGGGAGTGATAGAACCATGGTGTTATGTTCCTATCACTCTGCAAAATCTCAGCTCTTCTTATTCCTCCCTTGTGATTTCCGAATGATAAACAGAAGCCAATTTATATCAGCAAATATAGTGGACTTGCAGAAGTCCTTTCTACCATAAAGGCATTAACAATGATAATAACAACAAAAGTCCAAGAAATATTGCCAGAGTCAAATCAACTTTTGAAGAACATTAGAATGATTAGATAAACAAACTGTGGTGTATATATATATATTATATAAATATATATATATGTATGTATATATATATATATATATATATTCATAGATACTACTGATACCTGCTACAATTTAACCTTCACACCATATACTAAATGAAAGAAACTAGATTAAAAATGCCATATATTCTATGATTCCATTTATATGAAATATCCGGAATAGACAAATCCATGGGGACAGAAAGTAGATTAGTTGTTGCCAGTGATTGGGGAAGGAGAAATTAGGGGATCACCACTAATATGCATCATATTCTTTTTAGCATAAGAAAAATGATCTGGATTCCATAGTAGTAATGGTTATACAACTTTGTGAATACACTAAAGACCCTTGAATTGTGCACTTTAAACCAGTGAATTTTACAGTATAGGAATTATATCTCCTTTTAAAAAAGGATCGGCATAGAAAAATATATATTGCATGTTACCTAAAGATAGTAACACAAAAAAATGCTTCCATTTACTTCACATGATACTGGAAGGATTTCATGAAAGTATTTAATGCTGGTTTCTCATTGAAGCAGGAAAGGAAGGGGTTAGAATAAGTCAGCACAAAATGGGAGCAAAGGCTTCTCAGAGCACATCCTTTCATACTTTTTGATTACTGAACCTTGTGAATGTGATAGCTGTTATAAATAGATCTACAATAGCCCAACAAAAACCCTCAACAAATGGTTTCTACTTCTCTGCTGCCTACACTGTTCTCTAGGCTGGACATCGACCCTTGAATCCTGCGTTCTGGTGGGTGGACGGCAAGGGAGCTGAGGTCAAGTGGAGCTTCGAGGAGCTGGGGGAGCAGTCCAGGAAGGCAGCTACTGTGCTGAGGGACGTGTGTGGCCTGCAGCCTGGCGACAGAGTGATGCTGGTGCTCCCGAGGGCCCCAGAGTGGTGGCTGGCCACTGTGGCTTGCATGCGGACAGGTCAGTGAGCGGGGCGTCAGCTCCCCATTCAGGCCAACAGTACCTGCAAGATCTCTGCAGTGTCCACAGGAAAAATGGAGCAAATTGAACTCTGTGTGGAGTTTTACTTATTGCCCTTTTGCCTAAAGCTGCTTGCAGCGAGCCCAGACAATCATGTAATTGATCGAAGCAGGCCAGTGCAAGGCAATAGGGAGTCCGAGGACCTCGGTGCATTGGAGATGCCGCGCTTGCTAAAAGGGAGCAGCTACTTCTCAAGGCCAACCAAAAGTGTCCACGTGGCAGGAGAGCCAGTGTTACTAGTATTCTGAGTTTGTCATAGGAAATTCTGGAGTTTTATTTTAAAAACTCACTGTTTTAATGCTGACAACTAAACAATTTTTTGAACGATTTTTATTTATTTATGCAGACAGAACTAAGGCACAGGCCAGAGGTGTAGGGGTGGTGAGAGGATTCACCAGAGACTGAGTGGGCAGCAGAACAGGCAGATCAACTGAAATACACTGCTGAGGGGAGCAGCGGGCGAGTCAGGTCTGCTGCCCCATGTGGTCACCTCCGGGGCCAGGGATGGAACTCGCACAGAAGCGCCTTTGGCTAGCTTGCAGCACTGCGTCCTTGCCTGCTGCACCACCAGGGAGCACCGAAACAATTTGTTTAAAAAATTCTGAGTGAGACAGACCAAAGAGAGTTTCTTCTGGCTGTGGTCTGGGAGTGGTGAGCAATGCAGTTATAGATTAAGGAAATATCTTTGTGATAAACCCTTTTAGCCCTTCAGGCTCTCCTTTCTAGCTCCCAAGAATAGGACAAAGTAACCAAAACAACAAGATTAGTGCTTGACAGTCTGTTCTCCTGCAGTTATGCAAGTTTAGGGCAGAGGACCATTAATTATTTTTGCAGGGAGGGCGTATTTTTGTCCATCAGAGGGCACAAAAGGTCAATAGAGCCCAGAGCATCCACTGGCCCTGATCCATGCACTTTTTTAAGTGGCCAGAGCTTTCATATTGATTTTACAAAAGCAACGCCACTGCGTATGGTGGGGAACAGACTCTCCATCGTCCAGGAAATTCCTACCAGTCTCTTCCACTCGTGTCCCTTCCACCATCTACCGCATACACAAATGTTTTCATAAATAATGTTTGCAAAACAAACACACCAGAGAATTAACTTGCTATATGAACAAGCTTTATTCAACTATTTTGATAACAAATTGTCCCACATCCCCGGTCCCCTCCCCATAAAGAGATTGAAAGAGAGACAGGGAGTTTAACTGTATATTTTTGCACAAAATGTAAAAGTGAGTAGCATTGTAGTGTGGCCAGCTCTGGGGAAGAGAGACAAGCACACAGGTTTGGAGAGTTCGCCCCAGTCTCCCATGATATATAAGATCTATTTAAATAAGGGTGGACGTGAGAGAGCCCCTACATTTTTCTTGAGGAGCAGCAGGCACCATGTGAGGCCTCTGCTTCCTCAGAGCTTTAGTATCATGATTTTTCCTGTTGCCTAGATGCTTCCAGGCCCCCCTTTCTATAGGTCCCCTAATTCTTTGATGTGCAAGTCATCCAAGAATACATCCCAGTTTACATATTAAGTCTTGCACTCCTATCAACATTTTATATATAGGCTGGGGGTTCCTATATTCCCAAGTCCCCCCAATATGCACTTGTCTGCTGCCTTCCAGTCTATGGTGTTCTACTCATTTTGCTCTTAGCTTCTGCTGTCCAGCATCTGCTTGGGCCCCAAAAGCACCATACACAACTCCAGGAAGAACAGACTTCAGCTGAAAACAGCTAAAAGAGAGACAGAGAAGAACCTCATGGTTCCACCCAAAATGCATTCCTGCTGGTGTGTAAATCCTGTAAAGATCCAGAGAATGGAGCAACGGGCAACAGGACTTTGGGTCTGCCCCCCCTCACCCCGTCTGCCCCTTCTTTGCTCTTCTGTCCTTTCTCACTGGCTGTGGCAGGATGGCTGATTCTCTTAGGGTCTCTTTTGTCTTATCTGTGAACTCCATGTGGTATTGACAACCTGCGTTGAGATACTCAGCAGATTTTCAAGTGTCTGATAAAATTTGTCCCTGACTTCTGCTTCCTTGTGCCTTCTCCTGGGAGGAGATGAACTTAGCTACTTCCAGAATGGCTTTGGCTGAAGAAATACAGAGGCCTGGAGTCCCCACCTTGTTATCTTCCCCACCCCCCAAGCATTCTTACCTACACTAGGCAGCTTCTGTTTGCAGGCAAGAAAAGCCAGTGAGGTCATTGTAGGATCATGATCTTCAGGTTGACCACTTTCTGCAGTCACCATTCCAACGCTGTGTGATGTTGGCCGAATTATTTCATGTCTATAAAGCCTAAAGGGTTAAGTGTCAGTCTGTTATCTGAAAATTGGAAACAATCGTAGCATCGACTTACCAGGTTTTAAGATTTAAATGAAATAATGCATATAAATTTTGTAGTACCTGTGAGTGTCCCCTCTGGATTTCACTACTATTATCATTATTGTTGTTACCTTTTCCAGTTCAGGAATTCCAACCCTTCCTGCTCTTCTCTCGGAAGGGGATCTCTGGTCTGGACCTGTTAACAGGGGTTTTCCCCTGCTGCCTGGTCAGCGTCCCCTCTCTGTGTGGTGTCAGGGGCCGTTATGATTCCGGGGACCTCTCAGCTAACCGAGAAGGACCTCCAGTACCGGCTGCAGGTGTCCAGGGCCAAGTCCATTATCACCACTGACTCCTTGGCTCCGCGGGTGGATGCCATTAGCACCGGCTGCCCCACCCTCCAGACCAAACTGCTGGTGTCAGACGGCAGTCGGCCAGGCTGGGTGAACTTCAGGGAACTCCTTCGGTAAGTCGGGGCTCTCCAGGGGTCAGAATAAAAATGAAACCAAGACATGCCCCCTTTAAGCTACAAGAGGTGAAATGCATAGCTGATGGCACGCAGAGTAAATCAAAAGGGGCAGAGTAAATCAAAAGGGGAGGCTCACTTTGGAAGCCAGATGGACCTGTCACCAGTTCTGGTGACCACCTACGGTCCATCAAAATCACTCACTCAATAAGTCCCAGATGGACTGACTTTGAAAACCTCATCTGCTCCTATGGTGCAGCCAGATCTGAGGATTAGAGGATTGTTCTGATCATAGAACTTTAGGAATTACCCAGACCTCAAAATCCCAAATTTAGATAACTCTTTAGAAAACAGCCTTTAAAAATGATTAGGAATTGAGGGGGTGAGGGTGGACCTAAATGTGAAGTTTGGCACAGACATGTGGGTCCTACAAGAAAGTTCTCATGTCCTGGCAGAAGAACATGAGTTCTTTTGAGTGAGTCACTAGCCATTATCAACCTCAGTTTCCTTATATGGGAAATGTTATAATGATAATATCTGCCCCATGAGGTGATTGTGGCATCAGAGATGAACAAGCTAGCTAACAGTCCCAGCAAGTATCTCAAGTGTAGTATTTATTAAGATGGTGCTGGTGTGAAACATGTCCTTGCTTGTTTCTACTTCTGGAGGTGCCACCTCACGCTCTCGTATTTTGCAGGGAGGCATCTCCAGAGCACAACTGCGTGAGGACCAAAAGTCAAGACCCACTGGCCATCTACTTCACGAGTGGCACTACTGGGGCCCCCAAGATGGTGGAGCACTCCCAGGCCAGCTATGGGCTGGGTTTTGTGGCCAGTGGAAGGTATCAGGGAGGCACATCTGTTGGGTTGATGGTTCAAAGTAGGCAAAGGAGTGCGCATGGGGGAGAAAGTGGCAGGGGTTGTGGTAGGAAGGTCAGCAGGGCACAACTCAGGTAGGATCTGGCTTCTCTGATGGAGAAGCCATTTAAGGGGCTTTATTAATTGTGGCAAATAGGTAACGTAAAATTCAGGTCTTCAACTACATTCAATTGTGCAAACATTCTTACTGTACATTTCCAGAGTGTTTTTGTCTTGTAAATATGCAACTTTGCAACCATTTCACCTTGTGAATTCTGTTTCACAATAATGCCCCATTTGTTCTTCCCCACAAGACCTGACAGCAACCACTTGACTTTCTGTCTTTATGAATTTGATTGCTCTGGGAACTCATGTAAGTGGAATCACACAGTATTTTTCCGCTTGCATCTGTTTTACTTTACTTAGCATAATGTCTTCAAAGTTCATCCATTTGTGCTGTGTGTCAGAATTTCTTTCCTTTTAAGGGCTCAATAATATTCCACTGTGGTATATACACCAGTTTTGTTTATCCTTTCATCCACTGGTGGATACTTGGGTTGCTCCCATCTTTTGGCTCAGGTGAATAACACTCTTGTGAACATAGGTTACAAATATGTGTTCAAGACCTTTCTTTTAATTCTTGTAGGTACACAGTCAATGTATTATTTCTGAAAAATTTATCATTAGGTAATTTTGTCATTGTGTGACTATTGTAGAGAATACTTAGACAAACAAGTACACCCCTTTTTATATTCCTAGTGCTAAGTTCAGAATAATTGCTGAGGAGTCTTGGAGTATTCTGAGCAGAGAAGTGACATGATGTTATTTGTTTTGTTTTGTTTTGTTTTAAATGATTCACTCAGGATATTGGGTTGAGAATGAACTATAGGAGGTAAGGGGTGAAGCAGAGGACCCTTTGAGAGGTCAATGCATTACAAAGTGGGTGCTTACTCAGCACAGTAGCATTGGTTGGTCTGCAAAGAGGCAAAATTCTGAATGTAACTAGAATTATTGACAGATTTTCTGTGAGGTGAAAGAGAAAGAGAAGAGTCAAAGACAACACTTGAGAAACCCAGAGCACTAACTGATAAGGGAAACACTAGGGAAGAGCTACTTGGTGGGAGGAAGATAAGAATTCATTTGGGGACTATAAGATTGAAGAGCTTATTAGACATCTTTCTACTCTGAGTTAAAAGTAGAGATGTTGAGGGCCCTCCCTGGTGGCGCAGCGGGTTAAAGCACTGCAATGAGAAGCTTAAACCACTTCCACATGAGTTCGATTCCCGCCTGCCCCGGAGGAGTCCACATGGCGTGGCAGACCTCTCCTGACCCGCCCGCTGCTCCCCTCAGCAGTGTACTTCGTTGATCTGCCTGTTCTGCTCCCTGCTCTGTCTCTGGTGAATCCTCTCACCCTCCGCGTCTCTGGCCTGTACCCCAGTTCTGTATGAATAAATAAATAAATCTTTAAAAAAAAAAAAGTAGAGATGTTGAGTAAACACTTGGATAGACTTGTCTAGGTTTAATGAAAATCATGCTGGAATGGCATTCATGCCATCAGCTTAGGTGAGATCAGCAAAGAGTAATGTAAGTTGAGAAGAGAAGACATCTTAGAACTGAGTGCCTGAGAATTTATTTCCACAATGAGAAGGAATTACAGACAATTCCCAGAGGAGACTAAGAAAGAGCCACCAGTGAGTAGGATGAAGATCAGGAGAGCATGTTTTCCAGAATCTAAATGTAGAACATGACCACTTCCCTCTCTTCCAGACTGTAGATATTGCTGGAGATGTACTTCTTTCTCTGCCTCATCAGTCATTGCTACACATTGTTTATACCCAGCTCCGGTATCACCTCCTCAAAGGAAGTGTTTCTCAGACCCATCCCCACACTTTCTCTAGGTTTGGTGGCCTGTTTTCTGCAATTGCATAAGGGGTCATGTTGAACCCTATGAAAGGTGGTCTCTAAACATTTATGAATTTATTATGCTATAAGTCCCTCAGAGCAAAACTCATCATCCATTTTTTATAACCCAAGTACTGTCAGAATAAGTGTTGCATAAATATGTATGGACTAAATACAGTGTCCTTATCACATTGTATTGAGATTATTTATTCCTTTATATGTCACTGCCATTGTACTGCAAATTCCTTGAGAGCATGAAATCTGTCTTTTATACTTTGCATCCTTACCCTAGGGCTTAGGCACACAGAAGATGATCAGTAACTGTCATACGAAGTTGACATAGAGATTAGTCAAGTGGGAGTACCAACTGTGGGCAAGGTTCCAAATAAGGTAACTTTGATTTTGTAATTCTTTTCAAATCTTGAATTTCCTAAAGGATCTGACTTTCTCTGATTTTTGACAGGCGCTGGGCAGCCTTGACAGAATCAGATATCTTTTGGAACACAACTGACACTGGCTGGGTGAAGGCAGCCTGGACCCTCTTCTCTGCCTGGCCTAACGGGTCTTGCATTTTTGTTCATGAGCTGCCTCGAGTCGATGCGAAGGTTATCCTGAATGTAAGAGACCTCTCTAAACACCTTTTATGTGGTAGATGTAAATAAGGCAAATGAGAAAATGCAGAGAAATACATGAATGAATTAATGATCAATAAGATCTCTTTGGTGCTAATTTAACTAGAAAATCTCCCAAAGACATTCCATAATCTTGCCCACCTGACCCCCTTTGATCATTACTTATCCTCTCTCCAGAGCCCTAGTAGACAGAAGATCACTTCTCCAGACCTTTGCACATTCTATTTCTGCTGCAAGGGTGCTTCTCCCCACTCTTTCTTCCTTCTGACTCCAAACCCTCATCATTTTTCAAAACCTTGGTGAATAATCACAGTCTATCCCCACTCATGTGCATTCTACTTGGCATGTGTAGTTCATCCAACCCTCAAGTCTTGGTGACTGGCTCCCAGCCTTCCATCTGGTCTTATGATCAATGACCACAAGGAAGATAAAGGACACTTTTCTTCTTCCTTCCACATTCAAACTCCCTCCCTTAAATCACCAGAGAGACCATTTGCCCATGATTTTGGCATTGAGGCTTGCTGTTTCACACAGTAGCTAACAGCTAGGCTTTGCCTCAGTCAGACCTGACCTCTGCCTCTATGTTCTCCATTTGCTACATGTTACATGATCCATTTAGGAAAGTAACCTACACTCCTTGAGTCTCAGCTTCCTCATAAGCAATATGAAAGTGACAATTTAGGCCCTCCCTGGTGGTGCAGCGGGTTAAAGCACTGCACTAAGAACCTTAAGCCACTTCTCCCTGCTCCAGAGGTGACCCACATGGCGCAGCAGACCTCTCCTGACCCGCACGCTGCTCCCCTCAGCAGTGTACTTCGTCGATCTGCCTGTTCTGTTTCCCGCTCTGTCTCTGGTGAATCCTCTCACCCTCTGCATCTCTGGTCTGTACCCCAGTTCTGTATGAATAAATAAATAAATCTTAAAAAAAAAAGAAAGTGACAATTTAGCTCTCTAGAGTAGCTGTGACAATCACACAACACTAGGCACATAGCAGGTTCTTAGCATAAATTGCATATAGTTATCATGCAGTATTCATGTCAGGTGGTCAGCTGCTATGCACCACCTCCCTCCACTGTCCCAGTCCTGATAGAGTGTGCATAGTTATCTGGTTTTGTGCAACAAATTACCCCAAAACTTAGCAGCTTAAAACACACATATGTATTAGCTCACAATTTCTGATGGGAACAGCTAAACAGGTGCTTCAGGATTGTGGTCTTTCATGAATTGTTGATCGTGATGTCCATTGGAAATATTCGTGTTTGCAGCAACATGATTCGTAATAGCCAAATGAGAAGCAACTCAAGTCTCATCAACAATGGATAAACAAAATGGGGCGCATCACCGTGGAATAATATTCAGGTGTAAAAGGGAAGAAAAAGTTGACATGCTGCTCATAAATGAGTCTTGAGGACATTATGCTAAGTGAAATAAATCAGCCACAGAAGGACAAATACTGATTGATTTCAGATACATGTGGTACCTAGAGGATAAACAAGGCAAGTAGAGCAACAGTCAGGGGCTGGGAGAAAGGTGAAATGAGGAATTATTGTGTAATGGTACAGAGTTTCTATTTGGAAACATTCTGCAAAGATCGAGATGGATGGTAGCGGTGGTTGCACACCAATAGGAAAGTTCCACCAGACTGTACTCTTATGGTGGTAAGTTGGTGCGATTATCTTTTTTTTTTTTTGTAAAGATTTATTTATTTGTGCATACAGAACTGGGGTACAGGCCAGAAGTGCAGGGACGGCGAGCGGCTTCACCAGAGACAGAGCGGGGAGCAGAGCAGGCAGATCTATGAAGTACACTGCTGAGGGGAGCAGCGGGCGGTCAGGAGAGGTCTGCCGCGCCATGTGGTCACCTCCGGGGCAGGCGGGAATCGAACTCATACAGAAGTGGCTTTAGCTTCTCAGTGCTGTGCTTTAAGCCGCTGCGCCACCAGGGAGGGCTTATCTTTTAACACACACATGCATTTGCATGTACTCACACACACACACACACACACACACATATGTTAGCCAAGACTGCAAATTAACTTAAGTCTTGGCTGGGAATGAAGAATCAGCTTCCAGAATCACTCATCTGGTATCTGGTTTTTAGAAAACTTCATCACTGGCTCTGACCCTAAGGCTTCAGCTCCCAGTTAGGAACTTGTCCACTGGATGACTTGGGTGCACAAGGTGGTGGTTCATTTTCCTCAGAGCAAGTGAACCAACAGAAGGAGAGAGAGACCTAAGATAGAAGCTGTAGCCTTCGTTGAACCTAAGGTATCAAAAGTGACACCTGTCACCTCAGCAGTATGCCGTTGGTCACACAGACCACACTTGGTACAAAGTGGGAAAAGCTCCACAAAAGTACAAAGACCAGGGCAATGGCGATCAGATGTTGCCATCTTGGAGGCTGGAGAGCACATGTAGTGTTCACCTCCTCTCCTCTGAGAATGTGAAGATCCAGCTGCCTGTTCCATCTGCACAAAATCACACCCCACTAACTCTGAAGACTTTTTCTTTAGACTCTCTCCAGGTTCCCTGTCACCACCCTCTGCTGTGTCCCCACCATCTTCCGGCTGCTTGTGCAAGAGGATCTGACCAGGTAGAGCCCATCTGTTTGATTTTTGAGGAATTAAATATGGGAATCTATAGCACAGGTACCTACATGCACAGTCACCCTCTCACTCCAACTTCCTGTCTCTCTCCCTCTGTCTTTCTGTCTGACTGTCTCTTTGACACACACACACACACACACATACACACACAAGCACATACACTCAAATTCTTTGCAGAAGCAACTCAAGAATGCTCCCCAGGAACATCCCTCCAGATAGGACTGAACAGATTAAGAAAGTCTGAAATCTCAGCACTTAAGGAGGGAGCTACAGCATAGCTCACTTCCTCAGCAGTGTCTGCTACTTCTATGAGATTAGGGAAAATACTGGCTAGTTGTTTGGCACCTATAGAATGGTATTCGAGGCCAGGCTTTGGGTTTGGTGGGATTGCCACGTTGACCATGATAGATACTTCATCCCTCAACCCTAACTCTAGCCATGAGTGCATTTGCCTGGGAACCCAAGAGAAAATGGTGAGATCCTGTGAGCAGCCCCCACACTGGGTGAAGCCAAAGAAAATGTGTTCACAAGATGAGTGTACTTGCTGGGGTGTATGGAGAGAGGCTTTTCCCCTTTGGTAGCCAATTGACTCTGATCTGTCTTCCTCTCCCACACTCTCCCAAGTCATGGGGAATCATCCCCTATGCCCGTGTATCTGGCTATGACCATGCCTTCGAGAATAAGTCTTTATACAATAGTCCCAAAGTGAACTCTTCTGTAATGTGAGCATTCATCATTGATCTGCTGTGTGTATCTCATCATAACTTTGCCCCAAAGCAACTTCTGTGTGATTTGTTCCAGAACAATTTGATTGAAAGATTCTCAGTAATGCTAAACAACAGTCAAACCAATTTGATCCCAAAAGAAAAATGTTTAGAAATGTATTCTGCAATCACTGATTTTTCACATTTGGAATAATTATTGAATGGTGGAGAGTCTTGTCACATATGGAACATTTGTAAGCCTCTTTTGTCCCTTTTGCTGTTTGGGGATTCCTAGACCACTACTGACTAGCTCTTCGATTGTTGATATGTTCATCTTTTCAAACACTGTTTGTCCCAGTCAATTTAGGATCCATTTGTTTCCAACTAAATTATTTTGGCCAATTCACCTGGAATATGACATGGGTTTCTGACTTTATCCAGACTCAGAGAAGGTTGACTTTTAAAAATTACCATCTGTGAAGAATTGGTAAAGTCAGAGGTCTGGAGCACTGGAGAAGGCTAGAAAGACAGAAAGTTTCCTCTCTGCAAACTTTCATGTCTTGATGTAGACCCTAGGATGTGAGGGTGTGGATGTGGACCCTCACACAAGCAGGCTTGTATTTTTCTGGCTGACGAAGGTACCAGTTTCGGAGCCTGAGGCACTGTTTGACTGGAGGAGAGGCCCTCAGTCCTGATGTGAGGGAGACATGGAAGAGCCAGACGGGCTTGGAGCTGCATGAAGGCTACGGCCAGTCTGAGACTGTGAGCTCTGTGTGGGGGTGGGTGGGCCCTGTCCATGTCTCAGGGGAACCTCAGTCACTGAGGATGGTCCATCCACACAGACTCCTGCCTTTCTGGCTGTCACACCTTTGATACCTGCAGGGGCTGCCCTGCCCGGGCTTAAGAAGCTGATTACAAAGCTCCATCAGCCTTTCTTCCCTTTTGTTTCAAAGATCGGTTAAAGGTAATCTCCCAGTGGCATGAAGCCCAGCAAACCCACTCTTGTAGCCAAGGATGGTGTTTGTCTCCCCCAGAATAGCCTCTGGTGAGAGCCCACAATCTTCACGAGTGTTCTCGAGTGTTCTCAGAGATTCGGCCACTAGCTGAGACTTCGGCTGGTGACATGTGAAGGTCTCCGTGTTTATGGCATGTTCAATACATGTGTCCTGATGTGGACACTGGAGGGCGAGGCAGGGGTGGGGGGAGGGATGTTGACTAAGAAAACAATAGAAGAAAGGAAGACGAGAAGACATGGAGGGAGTGGGAGTGGGAGGAAGGGAAGAAGGAAGGGAAAGAAAATAAAAGGAGAGAAGGGAGAAAGGAAAAGAAGATGAAGAAGAAAGAAGAGTTAGAAGAGAGTGGGAAAGTGAAGGGGTGACCCAGAAAGGGAGCTGAAGGGCTGAGGTTTCTGCTCCTTGGTGCTCATTTCTCTCTAGGGTGTTATCTGCTCCAATGCAAGAGGCACAAAGATCAAGTCTGGGTCCATGGGGAGAGCATCTCCGCCTTATGACGTGCAGGTAGGCAGCCTCCAACGTGGCGGATGGTCGGTTCAAAATCAGGACCCCAGTTAGCAATATCAGGCTCAGCTGGCAGGGGCGTGGCCATGCAGACCTCTGACACCCTCCTGGATGTGCTCTCCACCAGATTGTGGACGATGAAGGCAACACCCTGGGCCCAGGGGAAGAGGGAAATGTTGCTGTCCGCATCCGACCAACCCGGCCCTTCTGTTTCTTCAACTGCTACTTGGTAAGTGGCAGGGAACAGTCATTTCACAGGAATTGCTGCGTGCCAGGCATGGTGCTGCACACTTTAGAAGCACTTATTTGCAAATAACTGTGTGAGAAAGGTTGGGATTATTATTGATAAGGTACCATTATAGATAAGGAAGGTCAAGAGACTGACTTATTTGATGGTGTTCAATAAGCATGTGCAGGGTATACAGTGCAAACGTGGTTGTGTCTGAGACTGTGAACCTTCAACCTCAGGGCAACCCCGTCGCTATCAGGATGTGAAAATGGAGTTTAAAAGAGAAGGGCAGAAAAGGTAATTTTATGTTAAATCTGGCTGTCAGGATTCTTTTTGTCTTGAGTCTTGGGTAGATACAGGTTTGTTGACAGGGCTCTGTCCTAGGATTCAAATGCAAGTGTCTGAGCTTATTCAGGAATTACCTCTTCCTTATTCCCACCTTGGCTGGTGTTTGCTCTTCTCTGTAAAATGCAACTAACACAGATCTCGACCCTAGTTGCAATTTATAAGCACCTTGGAAGCTCCATTCATGGCCGATGAAGAAACCCCAACTCATTCTGATCCAGATTTCTGATGGTGTAGACGTGCTCCCCAGATGACTCAAATATGCAGCCAAAGTTGAGAGGCATAACTAAGGATCCCATGTGATGTGTGTAGAACACTATCCATCTATTATAATATTGAAAGGCACATATAAATATCTATTTTTTTTCCTCTTGAATTTATGTGTTAGTGACTTTTCTGGGAGATTCCAACTGGCTCAAAACAGTTTCAGCCAGCTTGGATTATCTTAAGCCAGCTCTAACCAGTTCCATCCACCTTACACCGGCTCTAGGCAGCTGAAAAACAGAGAAAATTGGTAGAACTGGATCAGACTGGTTCCAAGCAGCTCTGATCAGTTCCAACTATCTGGAACAAACAGGTTCAAAGCACACCAACCTGTTACAACCAACCTTAACACAGGCTCAAATTGCAACAAACTGGTTCCAGCAGGATCCTACCAGTTTAAACTGCCTCAGCCAGCTCAAATCAGATTGGGCTGGCTGAAGCACCTGGCTCACAACAACTTGAACATGCTCCAGCTGGATACAGCTGGTTCCAGCTAGCCCCAACCAGCTTAAACCTGATCAAACTGGATCACATTTACCTAAACCAGCTCAACCAGCTCTGTATGGCTGGGTCTAACTCTCCCAAACTGGATCCAGTCAGCTCCAGCTGGCTCCAACCAGATTAGCCCAGCTCCCACTTCCTGCAGCTATGTCCAGCTGGTTCTAACCAATTCCATCCAGCTTGAACCAATTCCGAAGGGCTTGATCTGACTTGTACTGCTTTAAGCCAGCTCCAACTAGTTCCAGTTAGTTCCAGCCTGCTTAAAACAGCATGAAACTGGATCTAATAGGATAGATCTGATTCCACACAACTCCAAATTGGTCCAACTGACCCTGGCCAGTTGCAAGTGACTTCAAGCAGTTCCAACTGACTTGAACCAACTTGAATTGGTTCCAACCATTTCTAACTGGTTCCAACCAGTTCAAACCAGCTTCAACTGCTTCAGCCTTGTGCTAACCAACTCATTCAGCTCCAAGTGGCCACAGCTTAATCGAATCAGCTTGAAAAGTCTTGGACAGACTCCAGCCAGATTCATTTGGCTTCATTCAGCTTCAACCAACTCCAGCCAGTTCCATTCCAACCTGGTCCAGCTGGTTCAAACTGGTTTGAGCTGACTCCATCTAATTCCAGCCAACTTAAATAGGTTTCAAGAAACTCCAAGTGACTTGGATCTGCTCCAGATGGTCTTAACCCCCTTAAAGAGTTCCAACAAGTATGAACCAATTTGAGCCAGATACAACTAGCTGAAACTTGCTCCAACTGGATCAGGATGCCTCCAACTGACCCTAATGGCTCAAACTATATCTAACCAGTCCCAACATGTTCTGACCAGCTCCAACTGGATCAGGCCAGCTCCCACCTGCTGCAGCTAACTCCAGCCAACTCCAGACCTGCCCAGAAGCCTTGAACCAGCTCCAGCTGGTGCCACTGGAGCCATTCAGCTCTGCTGGTTCCAACCAGATCAGGATATCCCAACCAGCTCCGACCATTTTGAACTGGGTTGAATCATCTTCAGCCAGTTCCAACAAGCTCCAGCGGGCTGCAGCTGGATACAACTGTCTCAAACTGGATCAAGCCCACTACTATGAAATCAAAATGGCCTAACAGGCTCCAATTAGAGCCAGCCAGCTCTAGTCAGGTTCAACTGGTTCAGGCCAGTTTTAACTGGCCCCACCGTCTCCAAATAGTTCCAGCCAGTTTCAACTAGCTTCAGTCAGCTCCACTAAGTGAGAAATAGTTGTTCACTTTTTTTTTTAATGGAATGTCGCCAAAATTTGCCTACCTAAATAAACCAAATAAATTATGCTGATGGGAGTGGTGTGGTGACATGCTTTTAAGGAGCATGATATGTGATTCTATCCTTCTGATTCACATATCATGTTGCAAACCAATGTTGCCTTAATAGAAACAAACAAAACTACAAGGTAGTCATGACACCTGGAAGAGATAATGTTAAAATCTGATATATTTCCTCCTAATCATTTTTTGTAAGCAACAATAAATCTTTGACTTTCCTGAAGAATGTTTTCATTCTTCATTCTAAAATGAGAATCAGTTTGAGTGCTTTTCTCTTTCCTCTACCCCTGCTTTCTGGCCTGAACCTCACCTTCTACCTTTAATGATTCCTGAGCACAAAGAATATCAGTGGCTCTTCTCTGTTGAAGCAAAGCCAGTGGCCCTGTGCCCACCCTCAGCTTGCAGCTAGGATTGCTAGGACCCTCCTGGTAGTGATAGGCCCTTATCATTTCCTAGCAACCTCCTTCCAGTTAAAAGAGAGAAAACCCATGTAATTCTGGCCATTTCTGTCTCCAGAAACTGCTAGACTTCCTGTTAGGGGCCCCTCAGCCTCCTACATGGGCCTGCTGGGCTGACCTGGGTGGCTAAGCCCCAGCTGGCTCTTCAAGTATTGACTATCTTTCAGGACAATCCCGAGAAGACAGCAGCATCAGAACGAGGGGACTTCTACATCACAGGGGACCGAGCCCACAAGGATGAGAACGGCTACTTTTGGTTCATGGGAAGAAATGATGATGTGATCAATTCCTCAAGGTCAAGGCATCCACTTTCCCTTCTCCCTCCGAAGCTTCATGGCAGAGGTGAGGTCACTTGGAAGTTTGCTTTTCTCTTCCAGCTACCGGATCGGGCCTGTAGAAGTGGAGAGTGCCCTGGCTGAGCACCCAGCTGTCCTGGAGTCTGCTGTGGTCAGCAGCCCGGACCCTATCAGAGGAGAGGTCAGTGGACCAGCCCAGGGTACTGCTTCCTTGTTCTCGATCTTACAGCACCCAGCAGAGTAAGCTGAAAGGCCCAGATTCCCCAATATCTTACCCCACTCATGAAGGCTGAAGTGCCACCATCATACACACCTGCCTTTTGGGTGAGCATCGCCCTCATGCTGCCAGAGACACAAATACTCTCTCCGAGGATGCAGTGGGAAGATACCAACACTTTGGTGTCCGGCAGACATAGACCTGGGTCCAAAGAAACCAGCAGCTGGGGAAGATGCTGGTACAGGTGCGGGCTCTGTGTCCATGGTGTCCGACAGACGGTCCTTTTCCTTTTGCAGGTTACGGCAGGCACACCTGATGTGCTTGCTGCTGGTTCTAACCTGGGAGGAATGGCCCATTGGGGGGTGGTGACAGAAATTAGTGGACACAGCGCCAGATCAGGGAGGGGGGCCACGTTTCATAAGCTGACCTTTCTCGGGGACATGCAAAGTCCTTCCATAGGTCCCAGGAATCTAGATAGAGTGGGGGAACTAGGCTCCCTGACTCAGACTGGCTGTGAATCCACCGTGACCCTAACATGTAACAGGGTTACCCTTGCAAGTCAGCTCAGCCTCCAGCGGCCTTCTCAGAAGTGCCAGGGCCAGAGGCAGGATTCTCAGTCAGGAGCTGCAGCCCCACTCTCCACTGCATGCTCTGGGGTTTTCTTTGAAAATGGACATTTCTTACCTTGAGTAAGACCTGCTGGATCCCAGCGACTGGGGCTGCAGCCCCCAGGATCTTCATTTGATCAGACAGGTGCCCCAGCTCAGTGATTCTGAGAACTTCAAGGTGACTCCTAGAGGCTGAGGGAAGCAGGAGTCCTACTGTGCTGGAAAAATGACACCTGCAGAGCCTGGAGCTGGTGGCCGAGGGTTCACTGGGGCTGTGGCACATGGCTGGGTGCTCAGAGCATAGTCTGGTACAGAGAAAGTGCTTGATACATGCGTGGTTGCTTTAGATGTAGGAGAAAGCTCTTTCTGAAAATTGTATCTGTCTGAACGTGGAATGGTAGTGAGTCGGCCACCATCGGGTGTGCAAGGACAGGGAACCCCCGTGTCATAGGTTCTGGGTGACAGTGATGCTGGTGTGAGCTTACACCTCTTCCGTTGCAATCAAAGGCCACCTTCTGTTGTGCCTGAATTTCTGGCTCTTCCTCTGCCTGCCTAGGGGAAGACAGTCTGCAAGAATGAGGTGGGCAGAGAGTCAAGGTGCAAAATGTCCCTCAGGATGCCTGGAACAGAAGCTGTGCAGCGAAATGTTTGCTGATTGCAATTGCATGTGTAGGCAGCCACAGAAAGACCCGTCTCTCCCTTGAAGTGTCTGCACCCCCCCAGTCCTGCCTGTCCAAACCTTGAGGCTACTGCCTGCCCATTCAGGAGAACTGGACGAAATGGACCCTAAGGAGTTTGTGAAGCTCCCTTCTACAATGTATTTGCACTTCTACAGAAGCCCCCAGCTCCTAAAATTGTCATTTTGAGTATGTAGAGTGGGAAACAGACAGGATTCTAAAATCATTGCACAAAAGCCAGCATTTCCAACAGTTGATCTAGACAGGTGGGCAGCAGAAAACACCGCCACTGCCATTCACAGCCTAACTCTCAGGTGGGGCCAGGAAAGGGGCCCCTGAAAGGCTCAGAACAGAGCTGTTACACAAGTCCTGATTGATTCTTTTTTGGAGGTTTGGGTTTTGTTTTCTTCTGGCAGGTGGTAAAGGCATTTGTAGTCCTTTCTCCAGCCTACTCCTCTCATGACCCAGAGAAACTAACCCGGGAACTCCAGGAGCACGTGAAAAGGGTGACTGCTCCGTACAAGTACCCCAGGAAGGTAAAGCCCTGAGGGCACACACTGCCTGGCCCCACTCAAGGCCAGCACTGGGCACAGGCAAGGCCAAACGAGCTTTCACTCCTCCTGCCCTTTTCTTCCTATTTCTTCACGGGGCCTCCTCTCCCCCAAAGCTTATTTTGTTCCTGCTCTCAGAATGGACTGTAAATCTGATTTGGGGGTGTTGTGAAACTCTGCTGGAACGATCACATGGCCCAGGCTCTGGTTGTTTGATGCCATTTGGAGAACCATGAGTCAGGGAGGTTTCCCAACAAAGGGGCAGAGGGTAATGACTCTGAACACACAAGTTTTTCTGCAAAGTGATACTATCAAACATTTCTATTTTACTTCTATTTTATGGTCACCAGGTGGCCTTTGTTTCAGAACTACCAAAGACGGTTTCTGGAAAGATCCAAAGGAGTAAACTGAGAAACCAAGAATGGGGGAGATAAGAGGCAACCCCAGAAGGTCCCACAGGCTCCCCGAAGCTTCAAAGGAGACCTGGGGAATACTTGTTACACCTACCCGGGTAGCCCTCCTTCAGACAAAGGCTTTCAACTTCCAAATGGGCATCTTCAGAATCAGGGATGACTTTGGAAGAGAGCAGAAGCACGTCACTAATGCTGCATGTTTACCACTATCCACTCTGACATTTGCTTAATGATCTGAATCATCCCTCTCCCTGGAGGCTTTTGGGAAGCTGCCTACTGGTTTGGACCTCCAGAGTTCTCAGCAGGCAGGCCTTCCAAAGGGCACATCACTTATGACCTTACTCACTGCCACTTAACCTTTTTGGAAAAACCACTTGTTAAAAAATAAACAAAAGTTTCTAAAAGGTGTGTGTTTTAGCTCAGAAATCCCATGTTTAGGAATCACTACACAAGAGAGGATTTGAAAGATGTTTGCGATATGATTGTTTGAGATCATGAAAACAGGCTGGAACCAAAAAAGAAAAAAAAATCAATACCTAAAGAAGAGAGTGATGATGGACTCAAATGTGACAGGTTGACCCAGGACTGTATTGCATGGCCGCATGGCCGTCAAAATCATGCCTTGAGGAAAGCCTGCGCTAGATTAATTTTAAGTCAGAATAAAGAGTATGTACAGTAGAAAGCAACAGTGTTGAAAGGAAATTCTATAGGTGAGGAACAGAAGGAAAGAGCCATTTATGAGAATAGGACAATCCAGGACACTGAAGTAACTTTCTCTGTTTTCCAGACACTGTCAGAGAGTACATGACTATTTCAATGAGAATATTATTTTAAAGAAACAACCCCCCCAACCCTCCCCCAACCATACTCTGCCTCATGTCTAGTTCTCCCTCCACATCCCAGCATGTCACCCCAATGCATGACCTTATAGCAGGAAACACACAGGACCTGCAAATCCAAGATCAAGGTGCTGGAAGGTTGGTTTCACCTGGAGGCCTGTCTCCTTGCTTTATAGATGTTCTCCTGAATTTTTCCATGACATTTTCCCAGGAACACCTGTCATATTGGTTTCTTTGGGGGCTCCCAATTCATAGGTCACCGTCTGAAGTTGTGGGGCTTAGCGCCTGAGCATATGACTTGAGGGAGGTGGAGAAACCCAATTTGGCTGATGGCACTATTCCTGTGAAGTTCGCAATCAAATGGGGAGGTTGATATTTGTCATCAAATAATAATATAAAGAATAACGCACAATTATGATGAATGCCACGAAGAAAGAGTAGTTGAAACAGAGAGTGGGGGAGGAGATACTTCCATAAGGAAGTCCCCAGAGCACTGGGTTGGAAGAAAAGTCCAAGTAAACTAAATAAAGAGACTAAACTTTCTGAAAAAATAACACAGCAGGTACAAAAGTCCTGAGGAGGGAAAGAAGGGCTTGTATTTCTGTATCCTTGGCACCAGGTATGTCCCAGCCCGGCTCAGAGTGTTCAGCTGTCAACCATCCTGTTGCAGATATCGATCAATCCGTATGCAGAACAGAGAAGTTAAGAAGCTTACTGGTGTTCACACAGCTACTATCTCACAGATGAAATTCAAACCCAGGTGGTTTGACTCCAGCTTCTATATATATATATATATATATATGCTTTGCTTTTCATGACGGACGTAAGAATTTTGTCTTTCTGTGACACTGAAGATTTACAACAGAGAAATGATCTCTTAAGGTCTTGGTGGTTTTTGAAAATTGGGTCTTGATGCTGTTTATCTTTATGGAACTCCTGACCTGTATGAAGTATCTTATGTCCAATTCAGGAGGTGATTTTCCCCAGGCCCAACTGTAGGGGGCGCCAAAGGCAAGGAAAGCATCTGGTCCTCACAACTGACTGCTTTTGGTATACCAGAGTGGCCATGACCCCCGTGTTGGGCACTGCTATTTTTCCCATTGAGCCCCCAGATGTCGTGTCCTGAAATCCAGGAACTGGGATGGAAATGGGCCCAGGAAGTGGCCCCTGCCATCACTTTCACTGTAATCACACTGCTGCCCTCGCTTCGCCTCACAGACTCTGCCTACAAGGCTGAAGCCTGGACTTCTGTCCCCTACCCTCTTGGGATGATGAACCAATCTGTTCTTGTCCAGCTCGAATCAAAGTTTTCCTCCCCACACTTCACAGACTTCAGTGAGTACAGACCAAGGATGATAAAGGGTGAGGAGGCCCAGCCACCCTCCCCTGAGGCTCTGATGACCTGACTCTGTGGCCAGTTTTTGGGGTCACCTCAGCCCTCTTCAGCTCCAAAAGGAAACTCCCAGCTGCTGCTGTCCTATAGAGAGTCAAGTGTATGCGTGTACACACAAACACACACATACACACACACTCCCCCAAACACGCACACTTCCCACCTCCACTCCAGCCCCAGATGTTGATGGTAAGAACTGCAGCAATGTCAAGAGATGGACAACTTAGCCCACACCAATCATTGTGTTAAATGATCTGCTGAAACTTGTAACTTGGTTTTTCTCAGTTTTTACTCATTCTCATTCTACCTTCATTAGCTGGAGGGAATATTAAGAGTGTTGGTGAGAATGTAGAGAAAAGGGGCCCCTCACACTGTCATAGGATTTGAATTGGTGCAGTCACTATGGAAAACAGTATGGTGATTTCTCAAAATACTAAGAATCGCAATATCATAGTATCCAGTTTTTCTGGGTATCCAAAGAACACAAACCAATAATTTCAATATATATGCACCCCTGTATTTATTTATGTTGTTTCCAAGGTATGTGAAATGCCCAGTTTCCTGGGTGGATGAGAAGATAGAAAAGCTAGTGCATATACAAATTGGAATACTACTCAGCTATAAAAAAGATGAAACCTTATCATTTGTGACAACCTGGATGGGCTTTGAGAGGATGAAACTAAGTGAAAAAAGCCAGGTGGAGAAAGATAAAAAACTATGATTGTTCTAGTACTATCAAGAAACAAAGCAAGAACAAGCAAAGCTTTCAGATACGGAGAACAGAGTGGTGGTTACTGAAAAGGAAGGGAGGTAGGAGATGGGTAAAATGGGTTGGGGGGCAATGTACGGTGGCGAGTGCAAGCTAAACCCTTAGGGGTGATCAAGATGTAGTATATACAGTTATCAAATTCTGTACCCCTGAAACTAGAGAACCGTATAAACCAAAGTGACTTCAATTAAAGCTTTACATGAATATATATCTGAACACCCCTGGAGGACTGTGAGCTGCCTACATGCAACCGGACTCTGGAAGGGGCAGCTACCAACGGCCATAGAAATAGCAGCTCTCTTTACTGCGCAGGAACGTGGTGCCTGGCTCTTCCTGAATGTCCTGGCTTACTTGTAGTCAACAAGTGACAGAAGAGAAAGAATATGAGACTCCACCACAGGCAGTGGGGCGGCCATTGATCCCCACAAACCTGAGGACGGAGGCACTGTTGTCTCTTGAAGCACACTAGATTATTCTGAATGAGGTTTTGAGATCAGTCTGGAAGCTTCCCAGAAAGCTACCTGTTTGCTGCTGAGGGCTCACCCAGCCTCACCCTCCCCTGGCATTAAGTCACCTCTGTGGAAAAGCAACAAGCAGGTTTTATGTCTCGGGCTTTCCCTGCACCCTGCTACCCACAGAGGTGCTGATTTTATCCCCATTTTGTAAAGGTGGGAACAGAGGCACAATGGGGGCCTTTGTGCCTTCCTTTGGAAAGTGGCACAAACAAGATTTAAAATGGGGTCTCATGGCGGTGCCTGCGCCTTGCCTCTTGCCCCGGGCTGCTGCCTACCCTGGGTCATCCAGACAGGAGCCCAAGGCTTCCCCGATGAAAAGCCCTGGAGGGCAACAGAGACAGAGAGTTATGTGCTGACACGTGACTCCACGCCCCAGGCTTTTCTAGGGCAAGGGAGAGATTTCCTCATCTGCCCTCTGCCCTGAGGCAGAGCTGCGAACTAAGCTCTAAGCTTTAGGGACATAGTTGACTACACACAACCCTGGACAACGACCATTTCCCTTTTAATTTTTATTTATTTTCTACTTTTATGCCGAATTTAAGTAGGAGAGAAGAGACAATCATCCCCACTTCACAAGAAATCTGAGATGTGCCAGGGAACACTGAGAGAAACTGAGGGGGTGCATGAGACCCCCTCCCCCACAGCCCTCCTCCCTCAAGTCAAGCACGTTTCTGTCTCCTCTCTCTCCCGCCTTCAAGTGCCCATCGCCTCCACACACCTGTATTTTTCAGCCCACCAAGGCCCTTCTAGCCTCCGCCCGCCTCTCTATGGTTTCACCTCCCACCCTTCTTCCTCCGGGTGGCTTCACTCTCTCGTTTCCTCCCATTCTGACCCCTCTATCCCGCAACAACCTCTCAATGGTCCCCCCAGACTTTCTCCCTTACTCTCTCGCTGCTTCTCATCATATCTGATTTTTTTCAAAACTCCCTGGTTTGGCCAGACCCACTTGCTGGGCAGCCTCTCCAGGAGGCTGGGCCTGAGGAGGGGGGTGGTATGGGGCGGCGGGAGGAAACCAGAAAAGGAGGGACTTCTAGGGAGAGACCCCTGTAGACATGCATGTTTCTGGTCCGTTTGGACCATTTCGTTTTTAAACCATTTCACATAGCTCTGTGGCCAATGAGAAAGGCTTTGAAATCAGACGTGGGTTTCCTGTTCACAGCCTCCTCTGAGCCTCGGTCTTCTCATCTCTGATGGTTTCCTAGAAGCTCCATGGTCTAATCCTTGTTGAAATTACATGTGAGCGTATTTGCAGGGTTCCGAAAGCCCCCTTTAAATTTTTCTGAGGAAAACTTCAGTTTCCATCCCATTTCCCATTGGACTATGAATTCCCACAGAACACAATTCAGAGGTCAAATTTTTTTTTAAAGAGTAAACCTGAGTTTACTCTTCACTGAGTTTAGCAAAGTCCAACATTCTGTCTTGTCAGTGTTCCTGGTGGGGCTAAATGCCAAGAGAATGCAGAGGCCACTGCTGAGCATTCTAAATAAAGTAGCCTGCACTCCCCAGCCGGATCTAAACTCCGCCAGAAATATAGCTACAAATGCACGGCCATCTGAAGACACCTGTACACACACACGAACACACGTCTGTCATGCAAGTTCCTGTCTGTTCACCTCACCCTCACAAATACACATACCTTCTCTTACACACAGTCTACTTATATGCAAACTCAAAGACAGACACGCACATCCACGCACTTACCACAGAGGCATACAACACAGTCACATACACGAGCACACATTCACACATAGACACAAAACCACCCAGACAAGAACACACAGTAGGATACACAACTGCTCAGACCCCCTGTACTCACACTTACATACAAACTCACATGCTCACACTCAAAACCAGTCATTTGTGCACCCTCACACCCTTCACACACATATACATGTAGGGTGTCGCTGTCACAGCCGCACACATCAATCACACTCATTGTCGCGTCAACGTATTTTACTTACTTCAGAGCCCTTATTCACTCCCTCCGATATTTTCTGGATACCTATTATGTGGTAGATGTTGTTCTAAGTCATTGTACAAAACAGGGAAATATCTCCACCCTTATGTAGCTCATATTCAAATGAAAAAGGAAAAAATGACTAAGTAAATCCTGTAAACTTGGAAGTGATGTACTGAAGAGAAAATTGAACTGCAGAAAGTGGGGAGGAGAACCAGTTTGGAGGTGGGCTGCAATTTTAAATAGCTGGTCAAGTGATACTTTTTGAGAAGCTATTTTAAAAAAAATAAAAACTTCTTTGAGAAAGTGACCATGTTTTTTTTGTTGTAGTTGTTTGTTTGTTTGTTTGTAAAGACTTAAAAGGAGAAGAGGGGTTATCTGTGTAAAGACCTGGGAAAAGTGGTCTGAGAAGAGGAATCAACAAGTGCTAAGTCCATGCAGCAAGGCTTGCTTTCAAGGAACACGAGAGAAGCCAGTGGTGCTGATGTGAAGTGAGCAGACCAGTGCAGAGGACAAGTGTTACAGGTGCAGGACCTCAAGCCAGGGAGGAAGAGATGCCAAGAGCACGTCAGGCCTGAGGTGACACAGTCAACATGTTGACATTTTGTTGTTTGCATGGAAATGGGGTTCAGTGCTGTGTGCTGAGCAGAGATTGATATGATCTGACCTTCGATGTCCCCTAAAAGTCTCCAAAATAAACTTACCCTCCTCACATGTTATTATCTATCTAAACTTCAAATTGAGAGGGCTCTGTCCTGGTGGTGATCTCTATGTCCACCTGAGAGCAATGGTCAATGGGTATCATTTACTAATTGACTGGACAGGTATTTCCACGTTGAGTGCCATGGTTTAACCTGGAGAACTTGGCTCCAGAACTATCAATCCAACGCAGTCTGGGGGTCCTTTTGTCCATATTTTGGGAGGAAAAATTACTTCTTGAGCTTCCTTCCCTGTGTGGGACCCTAATTACTAATCTCAGGAGCACTAGCTGATGCATCCAAGAGGATCAGTGGAAACAGTCAGTGGCTTCAAGCCCTCTGACCATATAGGTGTGAATTTAGAGCCAAGGGGCCCCCTCCTAGACCCGATTCTTTTTTTTTTTTAAGTTTATTTATTTGCGCATACAGAACTGGAGTTTCAGCCAGAGGTGCAGGGGCGGTGAGAGGATTCACCAGAGACAGAGTGGGGAGCAGAACAGGCAGATTGAAGAAGTACACTGCTGAGGAAGAAGTGACCTGCTGAGGGATGGGACAGGAGGGGTCTGCTGCACCATGTGGGTCGCCTCCCTGACTCCCAGCTGCAGTGGCTGTGATAGCTTCACAGTGCTGCACTTTGACCCACCTGGGAGGGCCCCAAACCTCCATTCTTAATTGCAATCACTAGGCACTCACTGTGGGCCACACAGTTGGTTTGTTTTATAATTTTTGAGTAATAAGAAACTTTTTGAATAATTCAAGTAAGTTTTAAAACTCACTTTGGCTTCTTTTAAATTCCAACTAGCTTCCTCTCCAGAAGCAATTGAGGTTATGGGTTTCTATTGGACCATGCTAAGGAGTTCTAGACATTTCATGTGCATGACCAAGTTCAACTACAGGCCTCACACTTCAAACATCTAAGAGGTATCCTGGCACTATCTTCCAATTTCCAGATGAGAAGACTAGGCAGAAGTGGGGTGATATCATTTCTTCAAAGAGCACACAACTCAGGAGTGAGAACTAGCTCTGCATTTAGGGAATTTGCTTTCCAACTCTAGTCTTGGCCCAAGGAGCCCCTGAAAATTAGTCACTCTGCTGAGAGTTCCAGGCCGGAGTGGATTGCTTGCTGTGTGAACTTAATCAAGTTACTGCTCCACTCTGAGCTTCCATGGTACTCACTTAATGATCTGGAAAGGTCTTTGCTTTTCTGACCTGCTGGCTTAAACAACAGCATGAGAGTTAACATTCATTCACTTAGATTCTTCCATGCACACAAAGGGCTTTAAAACATTTCATCCTATAAACACCTTATGAAAAAGGCCCTACTTTGAGCTCCATTTTATAGCTAGGGAAATGGAGTCCGGGAAAATGACTTTGCCACAGTCACCTAATAATCAGAGATGGATCGGGTCAGAACCAATGTCTGACTCCCAGGCTCCTGCTCTTACTCCCTCTCCAAACTTCTCTAGACCTCTGAATACTGGATGGGTGAGTAAACCTCAATCATGGAGAGCAGTAACAGATGGTACGGGGTGGATGGAGGTGCACATCACCAATGGCACCTCACCAAGCTGCTGAGAGGTCAGAGGAGTGAGTTTTCAGCAGGGTAAAAGTACTTTACCCCATAAAGTTCAAATGAAAAGATGTGGGTAGGGAGCTCTGAGAAATGGACTTTGAAATTTTAGCTGTCTTTTGTGTACCATGGGACCTGGAGTTAATGTATTAAGGTCTTCTCATCTATCAAACAGTCCTTACTTTATAGGGTTGTTCTGAGACTGGAGGGGGATGATTTTATTCATCACACTTTTATTGACCGGCTGAAGATATATCAGTCACTGTTTAAGGACTTGAGAAATCAAGCTGGAGCAACCAAATTAAAAAACAAAACAAAATAAAATCTACCTTCAAGTAATTTATGTTGTAGAACAGGAAACAGACAAGGAGTCGGTTTGTGGCCATATGTGGAAGTCTAGGGTGTTCTATCAGGTGTGTGGGAAGGGATTCACCTAAAGGTTGGTTTTACTATGGATCTGAGTGCAGTAAAGAAATTATTTAAATATTTAAAAGAAGAGAATTTCAGCCAGGACTTGAGTTTCTACTCCGAGGAACTCATGAAGTCACTTAGGTTTTAAGTCTGGCTCATCCTGGCTGCTGTGTTGAGAATAGGCTGCAGAGAGAAGACAAACCAGAGAGGCCAGGGAGGAAGGTACTGCTGGTCTTGTAGAAAGCTAATGATGGTTTCAGATAAGTCAGAGAATTAGCTGATTCTAGATGTAGTTTTAAGGTGGAATGGACAGCATTTGTCACATCCAAAGTGTGAAGAGCAGTCAGGGAAGCCTCTAAGATCTGACGTCAGAAGAAATCAAGGGCTAGGTTCTCCATCTGCAGAAACAGCAGGTAGGTGGGATGGCATGATTTGCAGACAAGGAGAGTATTGATGCCAGTTTGGATGATACATATTTGATTCACCTGTTACACATCCAAGGGGAGAAGCAAAGCAAAAAAGTGTGCAGGAGAGAGATCAGGCTGGAGATGCCCATGGGAGCGCCATTGTGAGGCAGCTGAGCTTCCAACCGTGATACTGGTTGAGATTAAGTTTAGCATGGGTGTGGATAAAGGACGTAAGGAAGACTCACCAGAAGAGATTGAAGGTCTGAGGAGAATCAGGTGAGGTAAGAGGTTAAAGGAGGCCAGAGACTGGGAATCAAGCCCACGTGAGCGCTGCCTCTGTCTCCCTGGTAGGACAAGAACTTGCAGTCAGTCTTGAGCATAAGTCTCCTTTTCACCCCATGGGTTAAAAACAAACAGTTCATGTGGGCCTCCAGGTTCTAGGGCTGAGCAAGCCGTGAACATAGCAAGGAAGACTGACTGCACTGCAAGCCAGGCTTCGGGGTGGTCCACTGTTAATGATTAGCTGTGGCTCCTGGAAGGAGGCAGCGATTCTGGAGCTGACGGCTACATTATCTGTGCTCTTCTCCAAGGATTACTGCAGCTCTAAGGAGGAGGGTGGACCAAGAGATTCTCCAGAGACAGCTCCTAAAGGACTTGACAGGTGAGCACCTTGTGAGGACAGAACCCATGGAATCACACCTGATGATGGTCATAACCAACCCTTAGAATTCAGCTGGGAGGTGAGTGAAACCCCCAGAGGAGAGAAGTCTACAGTCCTGAAGGACCACAGAGAGGCGTGTCCTCCAGGTCTTATGGAGGAGGCAGCGCTGGGCAGAGAGACCGGTGCCTTTAACTCAGCAAAACGGAAGAGAGAGGCTTGCAGAGGAGCCTTAAGGGGCAGTGAAGTTTGGGAGGGGTGTACAGGAAAGGAGGCTTCTCTGAGGTGAGGTCTCAGGAAAATGTGACAGAGCCAGGCGTGGGAAAAACAGGGGAGCAAAGGTATAAGGTAAGGAATATTCCTGCTGAGAACTAGAGGAGAATCTTCACTTCTCTTACCTTTGGAAAATAGGAGGGGAGACACGAAGGAAAGGGGCCTTGAACTTTCTTGTCTCTGATGCCTGGACAACAGGGAATGAGAATTCAGCCAAATGGCAGACTCCTGGTATCCAGGGTTATTCGACTCCAATTCTGTATTCTCACCAAGGTGCACGTGGAGGGGCTCAGAGGTCACTTTCTATAGGGCCCAAACATAGGCAGAATCAATCATTGCAATAGTTCCAATTTTGAAAGTAACTCAGCACCTCAAGCGTCTCAGTCAAGGTTCCATTTCAGGAGCTAGATGCTGCTTGTATTAGCAATGTTTTCTACAGTAGCAAACATCCCAAACCTCTCAGGGCCTTATAAACTGATAGATCCTCCCTTCCCCCACTATCTGGGACTCAGCTCAACCACACACGTGTCATCATTCTGGGGCCCCAGAGGAAGGTGGAACCCCATCTGGGCTAAACTACTCTCAGGATAGAAGAATGCAAGCTTACCCCAACCATACCGTCAGATCCACTCACATCTCACTTGAACCAAAGCAGAACCCATAAGAGAGAGGTGGATTCTCCTTAGAAAGCCCCAGGTAGGCTACATAAAAATGAATGTGGATGTATAATCCTATTATGGAGAGGGAGAAACTTGTCAGGAACAACAAGTCAATTGCCATGCCACACCATTTGGGGCACAAATGGGTTTATTACATGGAATTGGGTGTTCACGAAGCTGTTGGCAGAGATGGGAGACAGACCCTAACTGGTCGCTGTGATTTTGGAGAATGGCACACCAGAAGGAAATTGAACTGGATGTTGCATGACAATCACTCACAGCCACAATAAATTATGTTCTGGAAGAACCCCACAGGTTGGCATGCATCTCCTTCAGCAGCTGACGATCAGGAGAACAGCCAATGGGGGCAAGACTCACCCTGGTCTTCTCTTCTTTTCACAGGAATGACCATGCATTGGTTGCGGAAACTCCAGGGGGTTTGCACCCTATGGGGAGCACAGATGTTTAGCCGCTCATTGCATACCCATGCCAGACAACTGGCACCCCTGCCGTGGGGCTCCCAAGAAGTTCCCAACAAGTTTAACTTTGCTAGTGAAGTGATGGATCACTGGGCTGGCATGGAGAAGGTAATGGGCGGAGATGAGGTTCAGAGCTGGACACTTGGTTGAACTCATTCACTTATCCATTCATGCAATGCATATTTGTGGGGTGCTTATTGTATCTCAGGTGGCATGGGAGCCTATGGACATGGGAGCATGGAATAGGAGCAAGAGGCATGGACTTGGCAGCTAGAAGGACCCAGGAGACAGATGGGTGCAGCGTAGGCAATCTGTCACACCCCAGGGCAGCTGGCACAATGTTTGCCTACACATACTGCCCATGCTCTGTTGTGACCCCCCCCCCCCCCCCCAGGAACAACAAGGACTTAGTGGTGTGAAGCATAGAGGAGTGGGGATTGGCTTGATTTAGCCAGCAAATCAACATTCCCCAAAGGCAGAATCTGTTGTCATCTCAGGTTATATGGCCTGATCATGAGGGGTGTGCAGGTAGGATTGACCTAGGAGGCGATGGTCCAAAGGGCTCAGTCGGGAGCTACCAGAGAGAGAGATGCAGAAATTATAGGTTTGTTTTCCCACCCCAGAATTCTAAAATCCTACCCATTTTGCTACCAATCTGGCCAGAGTTTTCCCCTCAAGTTCTAGGCATCCTTAATGGAAGATGGGAGGATTCATCCCGGCTGTGGTGGGAGAAGAGGTGGGTTTGCTAATGTGAGTTTAAAAGAAAGGTGCCTGGAGGGACTCAGGGATGACATTCAAATAAGTTCCCAACATCCTGACACAACAGTAGTGCAGAGGTTATGGCTGCTGGGCCTTTAGGCTGATGAAGCCTGGGATGACGTTATTGTTAAAAAAAAAAAATGGTTTAACATTTTAAAATTGAAATTGTCCATGTAAAAATTGAGTTTCTTGGCTGTGTTTAAAATTTATATCACCTGGGAATAAGGAGAAATGCTTGTCTACCATGACTGATAATCCAGAATCCATAAAAGAAGTGATTTAATCAATCTACTACATAGTCATTAAAAAACTTCACCACTGACAAGCAACATTATAAGCAAAATCAAAAAAGCAAATGATAACAGGAAGAAAGTATTCAACTCATAGGATGGCCAAAGATCCCTAATACAAAAAGATGCCCTAAAAATCAAAAAATAAAATATGTGGTCAAATATGAAAATAGACAATGCATATAAATAGACAATCCCCAGAAAGGTGTACTTAAGTGGCCCCTAAGTATAAGGAAAAAACTCAGCTTCGCTCATGTGATACAAATTGAGCTTCACTGAAATAACAGCTTTTACCTGTGAGTATAGATTAAATCCACATGTTTGACAATATACTCTTTTGATAGGGCTAGGAAGATAGGTTAATGTTGATGTCAAAGTATAAATTAGTCCAGTTACTATGGAGGGGAATTTTCAGCTACCTAACACAGTTATCTGTAAGTGTTCTCTTTGACTTTGTGCCATTGTTCTCAAGCTATGATCTGAGAATCCCTGAGATTATTTCAGGGTACCTCTGAAATAAAATCTATTCTAAAATAAAATCAGCAAGGTGGAAACTGTGCATCATGGGTGGGAAGTAAAATGGTATAGCTTCTATGAAGAACAATATGGCATTTACTCAGAAAATTAAGTATAGAACTGCCACATAATCCACCAATTCCACTCTTGGGTAGTTACTCCCAAAGAGCCAAAAACAGAGCAGTGAAGAAATATTTATACAGCCACGTCTACATTAGGATTATTCACAATAAGTAAATGATGGGAGGAATCCAATGTTGACTGACAGGTGAATGAATAAACCACTTGTGGCACATCAATATAATGGAATATTATTCGGCCTTAAAAATGAAATTCTGATAGGTACCACAACAAGGATGAACCTGGAAATCATTCTATTAAGTGAAATAATCCAGACACAAAGGGAGAGACATTGTGTGATTCCATTTATAATATGAAGTGCCTGGAGTACTCAAATTCCAAGAGTAGAAAGTAGCAGTGTGGTTACCAGAGCTTAGGTGCTGATTTTCTTTTGGAATAGTCAGAGGATCCCTGAAAGAGTCTTAGGGGTTCTCATGTCATAGCTTGAGAGCAAACAGACAAAGTCAAAGAGATCACCTACTGGTAGTGGCACTAGAGACTTCAAAATTCCTCTCCATAAGAATCAATTTTTGATGATGATGGGTAGCGATGACAGTTGCTCAACAATGAGAATGTCCTTAATGCCACTGAATTGGTTACTTAAAATGACACCTTTCATGTAATGGATATTTTACTACAGTACAAAAGGAAAACAAAAGCAAATAAAAACACAGATAGCTTAAAAAAGAGAGTGAAACAGTCAAATCCAGATACCAGTTGCCTTTTTCATTCATTTTCTCACTTGTGCGTCAGTATTTTCCAGAGGTTCTGTGATGGGGACGAAGCATCAAAGCTAGTGCAGAGACAGATAAACCCATTTCTCTGCTATTACAGACAACATTAAAGAGATTTGCAAAAATATAAAATGATGCCACTCTTTTCTGAAGCACACTTAACCTCTTTATTAAAATACACCTTTTCGTAGTAATATATAGTGGGTTTAAGTTGCTTTCAAAGCATACATTTAAAATCTTTGTCAACTGTAACTTCTAATGTGGTAAATATCCATAGACCCCATATAAATAAAAACTCTTTAGGGCTTTTGTACTTTTTAAGAATGTATCAGGGTGCCTCTAGCCATACCTTCCAGAACATGCCTCATCTCCTTTAGAGATTGTACCAGGGGCAAGAGTGATATGGCAGTCCCAACATGAGCAATGTATCCTATGTACTTACGTACCAATTTACCTCATCAGTGACTTTTTCTTTCTCTAGGCTGGCAGGCGACCTCCAGGTCCAGCCCTATGGTGGGTGAATGATGATGGAGATGAGGTGAAGTGGAACTTCAGCCAGCTGAGTGAACTCAGCCAACAGGCGGCCAATGTCCTCTCGGGGGTGTGTGGATTGCAGCGTGGGGACCGTGTGGCAGTGGTACTGCCCCGAGTGCCAGAGTGGTGGCTGGTGACCCTGGGCTGCATGCGAGCAGGTTGGTAACTGACCACAAGGCTGGTTACTCTCTCTCTCTTGTTAAGGAAACTGATGACAGTGAAAGGCTACCACCCCTCCTAAAACTGCCTCCATGTATAGCATGCTGTCCTTCCTCATAGAGAGACACCACCCTTCTTCCATTTATTTAAACATACTAAGTGTGACATTGTAGGCTGGAGGTTACCAACACAGAGTGAGCAAAACACCATCTATGTATTTGTAGAACTCATAGATCTCTGGAGAAAGACAGCTATCAAATTCTTAATTGCACAAATAATTTCTTTAATCTCATTTGTGATACGTGGCATAAGAATTTAACAAGAACCGATTTTTTTTAAAGGCTGGCAAACTATGATGTGTAGGACAAATCAGGCCCCTAACCTGTTCTTTTAAATAAAGTTTTATTGACTCATGGCTCTGTACACATATTGTCTGTTACTGCTTTTATGCTGTATTGGTAGACTTGAGGAGCTGGGACAGAGAACATCTTGTCTACAAAGTTTAAATAGTTTCTCTTTAGCATAAAATGTTTGCCAACTTCTGCTATACAAGGAGGCCTGAAACAACTGCTACCAGAGGGTCATGGAAGCCTGATCAGAAGTGATATTTGGGATAAAGAGCTAAAGGATGAGTTGAATGTGGCCAGGAGAGGAGGGCTCCAAGCAGAGGGATGATGCACAAGGAAAGGAAGCTTGGAAATGATGGAAAAGTCTGAAGGATGCATGTGTGCCTGCAGTCCAGCTGGGAGGAGAAGGTAGTGGCCCACAAAATGGACGAAGGGCAGGTGCTGAAGTAGCAGAACCCTGTGGGCCAGGGTGAGGACTTTCATTCAGTGAGCAGTGGAAGCCATAGATAGGTTTAGTGACATGATCATACTCTGTTTGTCAAAGGTCACTTTGGATGGTTCATAGAACTTGAGATGAAGGAGGACAGGAGTGGGAATGGGAAATCCAGTGAGGAGACAAGGAGTGATTGTGCTTGCAATTTGGAATGGATGGTGGAGATGGAGCTAAGATATGGATTTAAGATACAATTAGGAAGAAACTGAGAACAGAGTTTTTGGATGAATGATATATGGTAAAGGAAAGCCAGGGAGATGGAGAATTCACAGACACATGGGCAGTGGGGGGAGGGGGTGCTACTGTCTTCTACTGAAGTGAAGAAACAGGTGTACTCTGACAAGGTCAGCTGGTAACTGTTGAGTTAGGGGTATACACATCGGCTGTTCAAAAAGGATGAGACATTCCAGTTGTGAGATAAATCAGTCCAGGTGATGTAACATTCAGCCTGGATTATAGTCAATGAAGCCATATAGTGTCTGCTTTAGGCTTCTTTGGGAAAGAAGACAACCTCCTTTCCAGTCTCTTTAAGTCATTTGGCTTCTCCAGGCCTCGTCTTCATGCCCGGGACTGTCCAGATGAAAGCCAAAGACATTCTCTATAGGCTTCAGCAGTCTAAGGCCAAGGCCATCGTGACTGGGGATGAAATGACCCAAGCAGTGGACACAGTGGCACCTGAATGCCCTTCTCTTAAAACAAAACTACTAGTATCTGAAAAAACGCAGGCTGGATGGCTGGACTTCAAGACACTACTCCGGTGAGTACTACATGTCCTAGCCTGGGGTTTCACCAAAGGTGGAAACTAAAGCAGGCATTTATGTGTAGGTTTTTTGGACATCCAAACATAACAGAGCAGAGCATGAGTCTGTCAGGAATGATTCAGGGAGGGAAAAAATAAAAGCTAATACAAGAGGTAATTATCAAATCTTTGCAAGGGATAAATGGGGTTTGATCTACAGGAACACTCCGAGGAGCACATAGAATGCCTCTCAGATTTACCCACTAGGGGACTGACAATTGTTGACACACCAGCCCCTGGTCCCTACTGATGGAGGATTGATCTGGGGGGCACTGTCTACCCCATTCTTTTGGCTCCACATGCATGCATTCAGTGTCCCAGGCACTGGGCTTCCACTGCTCACACACCCAAACCACCTGTGCACCACACTAGATGCAACATGCTGTCAACCCCAAGTGTGCTAACACCCACTCGGAGATATTCAGTGCAATCATGGCTGGAAGCAATGGATGCCAAGAATATATCAGCCAAAACAAAGAGATGGCTGATATACTGAGTTTCTAGGCTCTTCTTAGCCCTACACCAGACTCCTTAAAGAAAGATGGCTGTCACCCTCCAACAGTGGGTAGCAGGAAAGGCTAGAGGAACCAGTTGGCCTGTCATGTGTCTGAACTCCTCCTGCTAAAGACACATGCCTTCAGAACCTCTAAGGGTTTTCTTTTTTGCTTCATGTTTTAGGGTTTAAGATAACTGTCAGAGACATAGACAGCATAAACCAGCTTTGAGAGACTAGAAAGTAGGATGCTAGTAGAGCTGTCTGAGAGTGGTACAGATACAGCAAGGAAATAAAAGAGGTTGTACCGGGAAAACTCATAATAATTTAACACTTTCTTGTATTATACTAAGGCTCCCAACAATTATTAACATCACGTTTATTGAGTTCTTACTTATTACTTTTGTATTAAAGTTCATTTGCTTAATAACTCTGAGACAGATAGTATTGATTCCATTTTGCAGGTACGAGAATTGAGACTCTGAGAAGTTCAATAAATCATCCAGTTACATAGATACCGAAATGCCAAACCTGGTGGTTTGCAAACCCAAGGCTGACTGGCTGAGCATCTTATGTTCTTAGCTACTCATGAGTCTCCCTTCTGGAGTGGGTTGGCTGACTTGCCCTTGCCTGCATGGGGGAGGATGGGAAGGGATGATCTGAGATGGTGACGGTCTATGTCTCTACCAGAGGAGCGTCTACCACGCATCACTGTGTGGAGACTGGAAGCCAAGAAGCAGCTGCCATCTACTTCACCAGTGGGACCACCGGTCTCCCCAAAATGGCAGAACACTCCCATGCAAGCCTGGGCCTCAAAGCTAAGATGGATGCTGGGTAAGAAGAGCTCTATCTTTTCCCGAAGAGCTACGTTCCCAGATCTTGAGGTGTTTCTTTGCTTGAATCTAGCTCCCTAGGTTGTGACACCAACTGTTGCTTCAGAGAAAGACACTTGGGAAGGTGAAAGATACTGAATTCCTCATAGGCTATGACCCAATTTCCCTACATGGCTAGAAGTAATAATCATCTTGAGAAAAGGAAATGTATTGTAGTGACTTACATCTGCAAAAATTCCTCATCTTTAACTCAAATCATTTTTGCTTTAAGATGAGCCTAGTCACCCCCCCCTTTTTTTTATTTTTGGCATGATGAGAGAAAAGGAACCCTATCAACACCCTCACTGTGTTTAGACAATTCTTGATACTTCAAGAAGACCAAAGATCTCCTCAGCCAAACCTGAACTTGGCAAGGTCATTTATTAAAATGTAATTTAAATGTCTTTTGCTTTCTGGATGGTTACCAAGAGCCAAATACTGTACTAAGTTCTGTTAAGAGAATGAGACCCAGTTATCTGTTATGTTGTGGACAGTGGGGTCACATCTGGATACGTGACCCCCTCCTATATGAATATAAAAGGTCCATGATGTAGTATAGAAGTCTCCTGCTTTCTACAAAGGTGCACAGAGGCTTGCTGTGTACAGACACACACACTCACACTCCACCCACCCCAGCATGCTCACATGACGTTCTATGTCTCCTCTGTTCTCAGCGTGTGGACAGGCCTGAAAACTTCTGACATAGTGTGGACCATCTCAGACACAGGTTGGATACTGAATATCTTGAGCTCACTTCTGGAATCTTGGACATCAGGGGCATGCACGTTCATTCATCTCTTGCCAAAGTTTGACCCACTGGTCATACTAAAGGTGAGAAAAGACCTGCTTTGCCCAACATGGAAGAATGAGCCTGAGGTTGGCACATTCTAAAACAACTGCAATTTCTTTCAATTCACTTGATTTTTATTAACCCTTGTCACATGAATGGACAGTGTTCAGTAAAAAAGATATTCCTTGTTGTCATGGAAGCCATAGGCCAGGGATGGAGACAGACCCATATGTGGAGTAAAAGAAGATATTCAAAGAGACAGGCATGATGGGTCCTTTGTTCATTCGACATGTTTAATGGACTTTTGCCCTGATGTCAGGTATCAGATGGTAGTGAAGCTGGTATGAGAAGGAGAATCGGGATATTAGAGGTGATGCTGTGTGTGTGTGCATGTGTGCAGGTGCATGCACTGGTCTGCACCCACAAAGAATGCCACCATCATAACTGCACAACTTGAAAATAGTTTCCCAGTTAGACAGTTATAGTTCAGAATGCTGTAACAAAATATCACACACTAAAAAAATTACTTGGTCCTCATAAGCTATGACCTAGTTTCTTCGATCTTTCTCTGTAGTGATTAACAGTGACATCCCTGTCATTTTTGGTATAAAGTAGCATAAAGATTGTGGGGTTCACTTGGCTTGAAATAGACAGAGCAAAAATAGCTAGAATTTAAATCCAGACCTCCACAGCACCACAACCCATGCTGGTAACTACTGTGCACACCAGTGAGTCGGTGTCTGACTTAGGTCAGTGTCTCTGCTATCTCTCCTTCCAGGTGCTGTCCAGCTACCCAATTAACAACCTGGTGGGTGCCCCCATTGTTTACCGGATGTTGCTACAGCAGAACCTTTCCAGGTGCTAGGGCTTTGGGCGATGGTTAAGAGCCACTGGGTACGTTGACCTATCACCTTGGTCACATGGGCTTATCTCTCTAACTCTGTATGGGTTACCGCTGTTAAGCCAAATCCATCATCAAAGCACCCAGAACCCAGCTCCAGGCTTAAGCAGAGTCTGGGTTCAGGAGGCTAGGGGGAACACTTGTCTCTCTTCTTTCCTTCAGTTACAAGTTTCCACATCTACAGAACTGCTTCACTGGAGGAGAGGCCCTTCTTCCAGAAACTCTAGAAAGCTGGAAGTCCCAGACAGGACTGGACATCCGTGAATTCTATGGCCAGACAGAAACGGTACTTGCTGGTAGGACCTCCATGGGCTGGCGGACCTCATGGGCTCCCCACATCTCTGACAATAAAAACTTGAGGCATCATTTTGTCAGTCACTTACCATAAATATTTATTGAGCATCTGCTATGACAAAGGCACTGGGTACTGAAAATTCAGCACAGAACAAAAAAACAAAGTTGCTGCTTTCATGGAGATTAGTCTAATGGGAATGGAGGAGAGAGATGTGAATTAACAAAGATCTGACATGGCAGATGGTGCAAGGTAAAATGGGTAAAACGGAGTGAAGTGGGATGAGTGACATTTTAGCAGAGACCTGAGTTTATCAAACATGCCAGAGCCTGTACTAAGCTGCTCAGACTGAAGTGAAGCCTGGGGAGCAGAACCCACGAAGCCGCCCTACTCCACCTGTTGAGATACCCTCTTGGAACTCTTGGGATCCCATGTGCACAATGAGGATTCACATTGCTCTGTTGCACTGTCCACTCATCAAAACAGCTGGGAGACTACTTTCCCCCTACTCCTTTCCCAGTGCCTCTTTCTTGCACCTCCCAGAGCTTCTCACTTCCTCCTCCTCCTTACTCTTTGTGCTGCGTCCTCCCGTGGCTAATCAGGGCTCCCTGACAGAGCACTAGTTGAGGGCTTGGCGCAGTGCCATAGTGTACAACTTTGCCAGTGTGGCTGAAGACAGTGGAGTTGTTGCACAGGCTTCCAGCCATTCATGGGAGACCATGTTTAGGGTCTGACCCCCTGTATTCTTGTGTGTGCTCAGGAAGATTAATTTCAGGACTCAATCACAGACAGTCCTATTGGGGTAGGTAACTTCATCTCACACTGCTTGGTATCTGTAGTCCTAGTGTAACCCTAGAGAGGGCTCCCCTTGAGAGGGGGTATTAGCCCTCTTCCCTGGGGAGTGTTCAGTCAGGTTGCCTTCCAAACAATTTATTGAAACCCCTGGAATGGGGATCTCAATAAAGGGAGCAAGGCAGGAGAGAGGGAGGGAATCCACGGATCATGAGTCAGCTCTGGGATGTCAGGGCAAGCTCTGCTGGATCTTTGCTTGTTTTCTGTGATTGTGGGACTGACTGACTGTCCTGAGGTTACCCCCACCTCTCTACTGCTCTCCACAGGGACTCACTTGCAGAGTTTCCAAGACAATGAAGGTCAAGCCTGGCTCCCTGGGAACAGCAATCCCCCTTTATGATGTGCAGGTTGGTTAAGGGGCACTAAGAGAAGTCATTTCTGTCAATGACTTATTATATTGTTCATTGAGGGAAAGTGATAAAGAGTAAGAATATTAGAATAATATTTGAGAAGGTAGGAGGGAGAAAGGGGGAAGGAAGGGGAGAAGGGGGGAGGGAAAGAAGAAGAAAGGAAAGAGGAAGAAGTAAGAAATTACTTGCAGTTCTATTATCAGAGAAAGCTGTTTTGAACAGGCAGCAAATTAACTAGTCATTACATAAATATACATATTTTTAATTTTAATTTTTTTAAAGATTTATTTATTTTGTGCATACAGAACTGGGGTACAGGCCAGAGGCTCAGGGGCGGTGAGAGGCTTCACCAGAGACAGAGTGGGGAACAGAACAGGCAGATCGACGAAGTGCACTGCTGAGGGGAGCAATGGGCGGGTCAGGAGAGGTCTGCCCCGTCATGTGGTCACCTCCCGGGCAGGCGGGAAACAAACTCATGCGGAAGCGGCTTTAGATTCTCAGTGCTGTGCTTTAACCCGCTGTGCCACCAGGGAGGGCCAAATATACATATTTTTAAAATAAAAATAAGGGTAAATCTTGACATGTCATTTTGTGACTTACTGTCATCATTAAACAATCTTGAATGGCCACCTTTCCATGTCATTAATACCCACTTATGGCCTTATTTTTAACGATTATGTAGTAGATAGTTGCCCCCTACCATTGTATACTTTTTGTTGTCGATAGATGTTTTCCAAACTTTTCACTAGTTAAAAACAACACTATAATGCAAATGTGATAGCTAAGATGTTGTTCCTTTCCCTTCTTGTTTCTTTGGGTTATTTTTATTCTTATTTATATAATTCTGCATTTTATATGCTTATGTAATTATTGCTATATTGTGTTTGGGTTACATATTATCCTTTGGGTTAAATCTCAAGAAACAGAATTTGTAATATGTATCTACAGCTATGCATATATATATATATGTATGTATCACAACAAATTATATTCTCTTCAGTGTTGTCATTGCCCACTCTCTCACCCCTGATTATAATAATCATTTATGAAGTATTACTATTTTTTTGGTAGCTCATTTCATCTTCTTTATAATCTGAGGGGGGAAACCCTGATATTATCTCTGCTTTAGAGATGAAGTCACTGAGATGTAAAATTCAAGTTGCTCAAATAACTTAAGGTAGCAGAATTGTAGTTTGAGCTTGATTTGTCTGATGGCCAAGTACTTGGGACTCAGACATAATGGAAGATGATATTTCTTGAGCTCTTAAAGCCAGAAGAATTTCCCAAGGTCCTCTGATCTAGTCTTAATAAGGAGCTCCATCTAAATTATTCCAGGCAGATGGATTAGAGATTTGCATTTAAAACTCTTGGTTTCTAGTTCTTCTTTTAGTTACCACTTGAACAAGAGGGTCTTTATTTGACCAGCCCACTTCTTCCATGCTGCCATTCAAGCCTTCTCTGATATGGACCATTTTTTAATCTACTTCTTCTTCCAGATTGTGGATGATGAGGGCAATGTCCTGCCCCCTGGCACAGAAGGAGACTTGGGCATCAGGATCAAACCCATCAGGCCTATAGGCATCTTCTCTGGCTATGTGGTGAGGAATGCATCCTTCTCTTCTCCATCCTCTTGATGGGAAGAATTTGCTCTGAGAGGGATGAAGGAAGGGACTTCCCAAATGGATGAACGTTCAGAGAAGCAAGACATAGAGATAAGGGGTGCCCCATGTGTAAGAATGGAGACTTTTCTGAAAGAAAAGACTAACTCTTCACTCCTGTCAGCCTTAGCCTGTCACTTAAACCCCACTTAAAGAATTGTCTTTCTCCATATATCCTTTCCACATTCAAGAGTGGTTTCATCGCAGAAAGTGTTGTTCCTGAAAAATATATAGCAGTGTTTTCCCAAGGACAGTATCCACATTCTCCCCAAATATTGCTCCCCCCCCCCACCGTGCTCTATGCCATTGGTCTCCTCTAGAGCCCCGTCGGACACTTGCATTGAGACTCAATCATCAAAAGCTTTTCTTTCTTCAGACCTTGAAGTATTAGAAATAGATGGTCTTCAAGTCCATAACCTCATGGGTGAAGATGATGAAGTCAGAGGCTACAAGTCTCATCCGCTCCCACTGCTGTTGAAAACTGGAAAGGAAATTCTCACACAAATGCTTTCTGATACTAAGATGTTTCAATAATACATTAAATAATAAACCCAACAATAGTTACTACCATACACTGAGTGCTTATTACATGGTAAGCACTGTCCTCCAGACACACACCAAAGTCACTTAATCCTCCTAAGTGTCCTTGGAGTCTTTGGAGATGAATTGTTTGAGCTCAAAGCCTTCCTCCACTGTGTATTATGTGAGCATTTAACTGACATCTTGTGCCTCAGTTTCTTACCTGCAGTCACGGTGTCATATTCTCCTAGCATTATTGTTTGTGTTTAAAGACTGTCATATTTGTGACACCCTTAGAACAGTTCTCTGTCAGCGTGTGTGACATAAAAGAAGTGCTGTTGATCCAGATGATTATTCCCATTATGCAGATATAGAAAACTAAACCTTGGCAATGAGGACACAGCCACTCTGGGTACTTCTCCGAGCATTTCCTTGTGCTGTTCCAGTCCATTTCACACACCAGTGAAGTAGCTTCTGTTTGATAGAGAAGAGAACAGACCCAGGAGTGCATGAATTGAATCAACTGCCAGAGTCAGTGCCAGCTGGAGTTACATGGTGACTGGGAGAAAGAGTCAGGCCAGTGGTAGCCAGGAGATATGGCTTCTAGTCTCAGCTCTGTCATTTGTAATGATTGTTTGGCCTTAAACAAGCTTCTTGATATCTGTGACCTTCAATACCTCAATTTTCCAAAGGAAGAGGCTACAAATTCCTTCCAACCCAGTGACTGAACTACTCATCTGGAACCCACACCCCACATTTGGAAAGCAAACGAAGTTGCACTGATTGGTGAAAGCCTCCAGGCTTTTAAGTGAAAAACACAAGTACCGTGATTGAATAGAGGGACCCAGCTTTATAGAAATACCTATGTTGGCCTGAGCCCTGGGGGCTGACTGGAATGTATCTATTACTTTCAAATCTGACAAAGTTACCAAGGAAACTGTTTAATAAACCACAATAATTCTGGGTGGTGCCATGGAGCAGAGCAGGGGTGAGGCTGACTGTTGAGAGGGAGGTGGAGCCAGCTAGGGAAAATACCCCAGATCATAAGTGAATGAGTACATCAATATCTGTTGGACTGGACCCAGGGGAGTCGGGAGAGGTCATGGGGGAAGATCCGGTTCCCCTTGGGGGTAAGTTTGTGTTTTCAGGGTAGGCCCACCATGTGCAGTTGGTCATTCAGGTTGGAAAATGCCCAACCTGTACATCTGTCCAGGGCAGCCTTGGGCAGAAGATTTAGACTTCATAGACACAATGTCCGTCTTTCTGTGATCACTAGGACAATCCCCAGAAGACGGCAGCTAACATTCGAGGAGATTTTTGGATCCTGGGAGATCGTGGAATCAAGGACCAAGATGGCTATTTCCACTTCATAGGACGGGCAGATGATATCATTAACTCTAGTGGGTGAGTTTTGTTTCTAGGCTGGGGAGGGTGATCTGGACCTTTGTTCTAGTTGGTTCTAAATTTGGGGCTGGCTGATAGGTGGAGGGCACAGTCTTCTCTGAAGGACAGGTTCTTCCATAGGTACCGGATTGGGCCCTCAGAAGTGGAGAATGCACTCATGGAGCACCCCGCTGTGGCCGAGACGGCTGTGGTCAGCAGCCCGGACCCCACCAGAGGAGAGGTGACAGGGAGAAGCAGCCTGGGTGTGCGGATTTGGGAGAGAATAGTATAACATGGTGGCTCAAAGCATAGACTCTGGGGTTGGACAGTCTGGCCCCAAATCTTGGTCCCAGGGCTTACTAGCTGTGCAATCTGGGGCAAGGTATGTAGTTCTTGGAGCTTCCATTTCCCATCTATAAGATGAGAGGTTTTGTGATTATTAAATGTGTGAATGTTTGTAAAGCTTGGAGTGAGGCCCAGCACATAGCAAAACCATATAAGGTCTATTATCTGGACACTGCAGGAACTCCCTCCTGCTGTTTGGCATTTGAATCAGAATCTGATCCCTGAACAGAGGAGAGATTCAGAGATTCAAGGCAAAGTACTCCTGAGCTATGAGGTTTACAATGAGAACAAGGGGAAGATGAAATAGAAATAGGCCCAGATGGCATCTCACAAAAGTTGGTGTGTGTGTGGAGAGGCTGAGGGGTGCAGAGGTGTGGTTCAGTGTCCAAGTGAATTCCTGCAAGGTGTATACTGAGCAATATCCTCCCTCTGGCAGGTATAGGCCTATATCAGCCATGGAAATCACAGGAACTGGGACCCATGGGAATCCGCTAAGGAGAAAAGCCTACATGTCAAACATTGAGCTAAGCCATGTTGTATATGGTTTTATTTTATTTCCCCACTAAGGAAATAAAATAGGAAATAAAAATGTCATATTATTAAGCATGACAACTGGATTTCCGTTTTATAGATGTGCAAACCATAGTTTAGAGAGGTTATCCAAATCAGTTAGGTTTATGGTCTCTAGTTTTTACTTTATTCTCTTCACTAGCTTTTCCCCATCACTGTTGTATATACAGTATGAGCTTCTGGCTTGGTTCCAATCTACAGGCCTTCCTGTCCATACAGTAAGACACTTGGAAGAGAGTTAGAATGTTGACCAAATTTATCTTCAATTAATCTCTTTCCCCTGTCCTGGCTGTCTGAGGTCACAGATGAGGGGGGATAGCAGTGACAGAGTCTTAACACTGACTTAGCATTATCCAAGCAGTGATGGCACGCTCTCATTCCCTCTCTCTTGACCCCCATCTTGGCTACAGGTAGTGAAGGCGTTTGTGGTCCTGACCCCACAGTTTCTGTCACACAACCAGGATCAGCTCATTAAGGAGCTGCAGGATCATGTGAAGTCAGTGACAGCCCCATACAAGTACCCCAGGAAGGTAAGCACTCCAGGCACCCCTAAACTTGGGGAACATATGGTGGTTTACCTTTTTTAGTTCTCTTCTTCAGGCTGAGGAGGTGGCCTTGAACTCCACAGTTCTGCCTAACACGCTGTGAAGGCACAGTGAGGCAGTCCAGTAACTAGATGCCCTTAAATTGGCCTCAGCCTTTAGCTCACACTATACTGAGATGAGTTCTAGTCAATACCCAGACCATGTTCCCTACTCTGTATACTGAGATCTTACATCATTCCAGATCCTCTCAGTTATAAATGATAGAAGTCCACTGAATACAACTGAAATTTATTGAAAGTATAGGGATGGGTAAAGCTTTGGTCATAAATTGTTTAGGTTATACCAGCTTTTCTACAACTATTCAACTCTGTCCTTGAAGTGTGAAAGAAACACAGCCAGAGAAATACATAAACAAATGGATGTGGTTGTGTTTCAATAAAACTTTATTATAAAAACAGGAGGTGGCCTGGGTTTGGCCATAACTTCTACCATAGACCATAATTTCTGTATTCTATCCCATGTCCCAGCACACTTTCTGGAACTTATTAACATTCAGGGGTTTCCCTGCGTGTTTTCTACATTAGTTTTTACTGACCTGAGTTCTCCAGTCTTAAGGAGACTCATAATACAACAGTCCTCTGTTGTAAAAAACCCAGCCCCACTGGGGTCACAGACAGCCCACGCTGCCCCAATTTTTCCCAACAGATGGAGTTTGTCTTGGACCTGCCCAAGACTGTCATAGGGAAAATCCATCGGACAGAGCTTCGAAACAAGGAGTGGAAGAGATCAGGATGAGCCTGAGCCCAGAGAGACCTGCAGCGGGCCCTTTGGATGATCTGCTCCCACAGGGGATATGTGATTCTTTATAATAAGGCAGATGTCTGATTTTTTTTCTGTCCCTGGTCATTAGTATATGATCTTTTCATGTTAGAAACTGAAAGAAGAAAGGGAGAAAGGAAATGAGAGTGAGGGAAGGAACAGGAATAGAAAAGAAAAAGCAGAGGAAATTAAGAGGAAGTTGAAAAAAATCAAAGAGAATGGAAAAAAGGACAAATTGAGAAAGAAAAAAAGGAGGGAGAAAAAAAAAGGAGGGAATCCACTCCTGTCTTTATAAATAAAGTTTTATTGGAACAAAGCAGGCACATTCATTTACATAGGCTTTGGCTGCTTTCTTCCCTCCTCCCACCCAAAGAGGGAAGAAAAATAGAAGAATTGGAGGAAGAGAGAAAGAGGAGGAAGAGAGGAAGGGGTAGATGAAGGAGAAGGGAAAGAAGGAACAAAGAAAAAGCTTGATAAAAACAGTAAGAGAAGTTGATAAAGAAAAATGTTGGAAGACAGGTAGGATGGGGGAAAGGGAGGGAAAGAACGTATACTTACTCTCACAGATAGGCACATAAATAGTGACAGAGTCAAAAGAAAACTGGCTCTTAGGAAGGAAATAAAAGGCATGGCTGGGACAAGATCTCCCTCAGAGAGGCTTGTGTGTGGGGTTGGGATGTCATCACCAAATTACCCTAAACCTTAGCGGGGGGCATCATGGCAAACAGGGAAGTCTCCATTTACTGGGAATTTGCCATGTTCCAGGCACTGCCCTGGGCGTTTCGTACATGCTATCGTTTGATCTCCTTTGGGCACCTGGTCGCATAGATCTGGTAGCATAGCTGTGAGAACAGTGTAAACACCTCAGAAAGATGTACGTCCCCTCTGCTCATGTTTGTGGTGGAATCTGCTCTTTCCAGAATCAAGTAATAAAATCGTTTTTAAATCAAGACCCTGAGGCTTGTCTTTCAGGAAAATACAGATGGGGAGAGTGATGTTGAAGAATAATCCACAGACTTAGTTCCTGGGGTGTCTGGAAACAGGCAGGGATTCAGAAGAGGGAGGGAGGTGGGGGCTACAAGGGCTTCAGTGATGGAGGGTGAATCTTTAGGCAGATTCCGGTGAGCTCTAGAAGGGGCTGAAGGATCTCTGAGGGTCTAATACTTTCTCTTAATAATAATTAGTAATAATAAGGGTAACAATAATATCAAGCACCTGCCAAACATCATAAATGATGCCAAGCAAACAGGTACATTAATCCCACTTAATGGTCACCATCACCCATTGATGCAGGTATTATCATTTTTCTTATTTTACATGGGAAGGAATAAGATTTAAAGAGACTGGATGATCATCCCCAAAGCCACACAGGTAGTAAATGAAGCATCAAGTTCAAACACACACACCGTTTGCCTATGATAGCTATGACCTCCTGCAATTTGCTTGCCTTCTCTTCTGGTCCTGGACAAAATACTCTTACAGTCATCTTTGAAACTACCCATAGAGTGTAGACATATTGTGAGATCTTCCTTCTGAAATCCACTAAAATATACCAGTGCTACACATATGACCTAACAGAGAAGTGAAACATATTCATCAAATCGCAAAATGTCATTTTTTTCTCAGCCTGGTTCTATCACTATTTAAGGATTATCGCCTCACTGACAGTTTCCAAGAATGAGAAACCTAATATATTGCCAATTCTGGCACTTCTCTGCCCTCTTTGGTCTATAGTGAGAATTCTTAGGGCCATCTCTCCTTTCTCAGTCCGTGATTTTACTGTCTCCAAGCTCAGGAATGACTGATAGGGGAAACCCATACTGCCAAGGGAAATCTACAACTCGACCCCAAGTCTAGAACCTGCCCCTCCTCCCTCCACTCAAGCCACTTCCCCACGTGGCTTGTATGAAGCTATCACACTATTCAGCCAGCCCCTTTCCCAGAGAATGGTTAGCTGTGGTTAGAAAGAAATTCCGGCTCTTTCTTCCTCAAGGTGAACCTTAGGGTATTTCACTCTCCTGTCCTTGTTTAGCCTCAGTAACCCCCAGATCCAAAAATTAGTATTTGTCTAGTCTCCATGGCCCGATATGGGCTGTGGACATCATCATCGTTCTGACACCTTGTTGTCATTGCTATCGTTATTATTATTGGCTTAGTCTAGATTCCCAGACAGAGGTGTATGTATATACCTATGGCAAAAAATTGTTGCAGGTTTCCTCTTATCTGTAGCTAGAAGAAGAAATGTAATCTGGAGGAGGGAGTTTGCCTCACTTTCATCAATGTTATTTCAACATCAGCTTCCAGCTTTGGAATGGTAAGGGCTGGCCGTTCTGTCACGTGACATGAGAGTTTGGACTTTACCTAGGGAGTAATGGACTCAGTCAACAATATATTTCTAAACAGTCACCCTTATACCTGACTGGTGTAGGTATTAAAGAATGACTTGAGAAATGCTTCCAAGAAATCCTTCTTGGAGCTGGGTGGCAGGTAGCTAAGTGAAGATGGTGGGGTGAGGAGTTCTTACAGCACATTCAGTGTGAACGTGGCTCGAATACTTTCTGAGGTGGGAACATTGAATTCTGTGGGGATCATGCTAATGTAGGCAATTTCTGGAACACTGTGCTTAGTTACTGAATGGACCCTGATTTACAATGGTACAGCATAAGGTTTTTTTAATTTACCAAGGTACCAAAGTGCATTCAGTGGAAACCATAATTTGAATTTGGCTCTTCTCCTGGGCTGCCAGTAAGTCTGGCATGATATAGCAAGCTGAAGCTCCCAGCCAGATCCAAGATTGCCAGAGTAAATAACCAATCCTCTGTGATGTGCCAGCACAGATAGTCTCAGGCTTATGATGGTTTAACTCAACAGTCTTTTTAATAGGAGGACATAATCCCTCGTTAGTTGAGAAAGGTCTATATAGTAGCTAATCAGTTGCAGAACAAGATGTTACATGTAGTTTAGAAAAGGGAGGAAAGAAAGGAAGCACAAATAAAAATGCCACATTCTGAACTGGTACATTAAGTGTTCTTGAGTAGGAGAGCATCTTGGACGGTGATCAGCATATAATCTTTAAGCTAAAGTTTGTTCTGTGTCAGGGTATTTACTCTTGATGTAATCAGGACGGACTAATTCTGAAAAGTAAAGCAAGAGTGATCCGCAAAGAACAATGTGCTTATTTACTTGGAAGATATCTCCGGGCTCCATGTATATGGGGAAAAGAGTATGCAGCTAAGAGTCAAGAGGTCAGTCAGATGGCTCTCCAGATTCAAATGGTCTTTCTGCAACTCTTTCCCTGTGAGAGCTTAGGTGAGAGTCTTACATTCTCTGAACACCAGTGTCTCCATTGCTAAAATAGTGGTAGTAATAGTACTTTACACACATGTCTTTCTATTAGATGAATTAATACAGTAAAGGCTTGGAACAGTGCCTGGAACAAATAAGCATTCAGTAAGTTTGAGTTAACGTTATTTTTTAAGATTTATTTTTATTTATTTATGCATATAAGAACTGGCGTATAGGTAGGAGGTGAAGGGGAGGAGGGGTGAGAAAATCCACCAGAACAGAGTGGGGAGCAGAACAGGCAGATCAGTGAAGTACACTGCTGAGGGGAGCAGTAGGGAGACAGGAGAGGTCTGCTGCGCCATGTGGGTCAGCTCCCTGACTGGGGATCAAACTCATGCTGCAGATAGCTTCATAGTTTTCACAGAAACTTTCTGAGTATCTATTTCTTTATCTCTGGAATTAAAAAAATATAACCTGGGTTCTCCCTGGTGGCGCAACAGGTAAAGCACCATATTATGAAGCTCTACGAAGCCACTGAAGTACAAGTTTGATCCCCAACCAGGGAGCTGACCCACATGGTGTGGCACACCTCTCCTGTCTCACCCGCTGCTCCCCTCAGCAGTATATTTCAGTAGATCTGCCTGTTCTGCTCCCAACTCTGTCTCTGGTGAATCCTGTCACCCACCATAACTCTAGCCTGTACCCCAGTTCTGTAAGCATAAACAAAATCTTTGAAAAAGAAAAAAGAATATAACCCGTTACGAGACATTAATATATGTATAAGTGAGGTTGTGTTTGTAAATTCCTTCAGACAAGAAGTCCTTCTGAAGTAATCACTTCTTACTCCCTCTTTTCCTTCCCAACCAGTAACAACAACAGCACATAAGCAAAACTCTGACTATATGCCAGGCACTCTTCGAAGCTGCCTGCATGTATTATCTCTTAGTTCTCACAACAGCCTCATAATTTAGGTATCATTATTCTTACTCTAAGGTGCAACCTCAAGCTGTAACTTCATCCGTACCCTGTCATTCCCCACTGCCAATCACACTGTCATGTTGCCTTGTTTATTTTCTTCCTGACACATATATTTAGAGCCCTTGTCTCTTATCTCCCTATCATAGGATGGCAAATTTGAGAGCAACAACTTTATGTAACATGTTCAAAGTCATTACTTTCCCTTGAAGGAGCTCATGGAATATATGGTGAATGAGTGGAGGTGCTGTAGCATTTTACAAAAGTAGGGAGAACAGTGAGTGTAAAATATGCAGGTGGACAGGAGACTGGCTACAGAGTCAGAGAACAAGGCGGAGAGTGTCTGCCATGTTTTGATGTTACTTAGTTCCCAAGGCTACTGGGTCAGAGGAGATGAGTATAAAGACTCCAAACCCACATGTAAGTGTCCTACGCTACCTGTGTCACTTCTACCTGGAGTTCAGTCATGATTCAGCAGCCTCACCCAAGCTACAAAAGGTATGGGAATGAAAGAAGAGGACTCATGGAATCTTCTGAGAGTTCTACCATCTCAGAAGATGGTAGAATGTCTACCATGCGATATTGTTAGAGGTGAGAAAATTAAGGCACAAAAAGACAAGAAAACTGGTGAATATACAAACCCAGCAGCTGGTAAAACTCCAGCTGAAACCCAGATGACCTGGCTGCAAACTACCCCTTCTTGACCATAAAACTGG